ATCTCTGACGATACCTGGTTTCCTGAAAAGAACACATATCTTTAGAACAAGCTAGATAAAATGTCATGCCAAAGGAAAAAATACCAAAACAAAACGAATATTCCTTTGTTGACAGATAATATCAGCAGGTAACAAATATCATCCATTCAGACTTGTCTGTGGCACTCTTGCCCATGGCAGAGATGTTGAACTAAATGATCCCAAAGGCCCCTTCCCACCCAAACCATTTTATAATCTGTCAAATTGCTTCCAAGACTGACAGGTATGATAAATACCTTATCTTTGAGGCCAAAATGAAGATGAGGCAGCATGTGCAGGCATGGAGACAAGAGAGTGATTTCATAAGGAATAATACTCAATTCCCCTTTCCTTGTTTTCCCAGGATTCCCCTCTACACCAATAATGTCCCCACGACGCAGTTTGCTGTTAACACGGAAATATTCTTCCTCAGATTTGTAGAGGCTGTAATTACAAAACAAATGTAAGCATGTTTGTTTAAAATTCAACACTCCCCAAGTGTCTCACAAGACAAAATCCATTAAAAAAAAAAAAGATATAAAAGTTATTTTAACAGGAAGCACAACATCTGAAGCAAAGCATTACTTGGCTGCCTAAGCCAAACCACAAATGAAATAGAATACTCCAACACAGATGTCTAGACCCTAGAATACAGTGCAGTTTAGAATGCTACTGGGAATACCTCTGCTTACCTGGAATTTGCCATGACCTGCAGCTTGACTCCTTCACCACGAAGATCATAGAAAATCAGTTTCCCTCCAGCAGCACGCTTTGCATGGATTCGACCTAAGTATCAAAAATATGCTAGACATCAGGACATCAGGACAAGAGTCCCTACCAGAAAGGATACAGGGTCAAAAGCCACATTACTATCACTTCGAATCATCAGCTCTGAACTATTCACTAACTGTGAAAGAGAAGCAGTTAAGTCTCAAAATGAAAACTAGTGCAAATAAGACCATAAAACCTTTGGGTGCTAGAACCCATGTTACATACAATCTGATCTTATAGTTGCAAGGGATGTTGCACAGGTCCACACAGTCTGAAGGGTATGTCCTGAATAGTTTAACACCGCTACAAGGCTTCATGAGTGAGTAAGAGATCAGCAAACTCAAAAAAGACCAACCTATTAATAAAAGCAACTAAGACTTTACGTTTTTCTGTATCCCTCAGGTAAACTTTTACCTGCCACTCTCACGGTAATGTTTGACAGATGATCTCCTGGCTGCAGGTGACTGTACTTGTCTATAAAATCTGAGAGAGATAAGTCAACGTGGAACTTGTGGGGATAGGGATCTTCACTGGAGCCCTTAAGCTGTTGGACTGCATGGCTACGAATCTTGTAGTATTGCTGTCACCGGAAACAAACAAAATCAAATTATTTTATTAGAATCTGAAAATATGTTACAGGCTGTGAATTAAAATGTAGCTGCCATAATGCAGGAATATACATCTCTCCCCTTTTAACCTTTTAATTATCCATGAATAAAAAAAATCAAATGCAAGTCAGTAAGATTCACAGAACATCTAATAAGCATGGGACCAGATGCTCACATTTGGGTCCAAGCTCTCCTCATCAGTACCAACATTATCCTCAGAAGTCAAGGAAGGCTTATTTGAATGCTTTTCACTTTGCTCCTTCTGCTTTGCTTCTTTTTCAGCTGTTTTTCTCTCAGCCTTTAAACGTCTCTTCAGCTCACTGCAAAAGAGAAGGAAACCAGATGCAGCAAGTACTCGAATTTAACTTCTACAGGGAAACGGTTGGTAGGATTTTGCCAAAACCTAACTGTGCAAATAACCCTGCCACTTCTCTTACTTTTTCCAATAATCAAAATAATTCTTAAACACGTTTAAGTATCTTCTACTTTGAACTTCTTCAGTTCATCCCCTACGATACACTCACAGAAAGTGAAAGCGAAATTAAACATAGTTCAGACAAACCTTAACGATATGTGCCTAAGTGCTCAAGGACTAGACGCATTTTATCCGTAACAGCCCATCAGCCCTAAGCAGCGTGTAAGTGAAAGAACACAAACCCCCTTAAGTAACGTACGGTTCCCAAAACCACCGTCGCGGTCCAGCCTATTCCCCCATGGCCCTCAGGCTCCCGTCGTGCTCGTAACCCCACCTTCCACGACTCCATAAGGAAAGAAGCGGACCAAGCCAGATGCAAAGCACCGACCTGCTTTGGTCATGAAGCGCCTGCTGCCATCGAAGCGCGGGCGCGGCCCTCCAGACCCAGCTGCGGAGCCGCGCAGCGCCGGAGCTCAGCATGGCGCTCCGACGGGCGCCTTGACGGAGACAACGCACCGGGTCAGCTGGACACACTTCACTTTCACCTCCCCGGCCCGGCCCCACCTGATCACCCGCCCACCCTCACTTTTTGCTGAGGTGCGACTCAATCTCCTCTGCGTTGCCCTCGCGCGCCGCCGCCGCCGCCGCCATCATCTCCCCAGCTGCCACCGCCTCCGCCCTTCCACGCCTGCGCACAGGCGATGGCGGCGGGCGGAGCTGGGGCGGCGATGGCGGGCGGGCAGGCCGGAGGAGCGCGATCGCGATCGCTGTTCCTGTGGGATGACGGGCATCCTATGAGGTTCTACCTGCGGCCTGGCCTGGCCAAGCTGCGCCTGGCGCCCCTAGTGCTAGCGGGCGGCGGGCGGCTGTGTCGGGTGCAGGAGCCGGGGGCCGTGCTCCTGGCGCAGCCCGGCGAGGTGGCTCCCGACGGGGCCGTCTCAATCGAGTATGTGGCGGAGTGCGTGAAGCGTAACCAGCGGCTGCCGCTAGAGCCCTTCCTGCTGGCAGCCCGCGGCCGCCTGGCTTTCACGGAGGCGGAGGATGCGGCGCTGCTCCAGGCGACGCGTGGCCAGGGCATGGTGCGGCTGAGCGGCCGTGCGCTGTGGATAGAGCTGGAGCGGAGCGGCCTGACGCGGCACAGCTGGCAGGCCATGCGTGACCGCTACCTGCGGCACCTGCTGCCGCGGCTCTGGGGTGAGCGGGGGCCACAGCGGCGGGGCAGGGTTGCGAGGGGACTTGGTGGCGGCGACCAGCGTGGGTCGGGCTCCGCTGAGGCCTGGCAGACGATCCCCGCTTGTTTCCGCAGAGTCCCCGCAGACGGAGGATCCCACGCAGATCAGGGGTCTGTTCGCGGCAGCTAATCGGGAGTTCGAAAGCACAGAGGTGAGCGACCGGGGCCGGCCTGGGGAGCAGCAGCCTCCACTGCGCGCAGTGCTCGGGGCAGGCCTTCCCCGGTGTCTCAGATGGCACAGTAGAAACTCATGATTAACACATGAAATGAGTTTGCCCTGCGATATCCCTTCTGCTGTGGCTAAACCGTGAGCTGTCACCTATGTGGTTTGTAATAAATGGTGCCTGGCTGGTGCATTTTTTCTTTCCTGTGTAAGTTAGCATGAGGAGGTATATGTGATGGGGGTTGTCACATTGAAAGCTGTATTGGCACATGGAAGTCATTCTTTCACCTCAGGCAAAAGACATTCCTGCCGTTGCATCAACACTTACTTTTGCCTTTAATGCTTAGTTTGTTAAAATTCTTACGTATAGTTTATGGATTTCTGTGATCATGTGCAGCCATATTAACACATATGGCTTTGCTTCAGTCACTAGCTTTTACTATGCTTACTAATTTCTGAGGTTTTAATACACTGTAGAGACAGAGTAAAAGGTGGTTGGTTACAGTGGTAAAAGATTTGCCAGAAAATACCATCTCTAACTGGTGATTCCACTTGTCTTACTATTAGTCAGAAAGTGACTCTTCAGATGTTGCAGAACATCCTACACAAGATGGAGTGAGAAGGTCCCCAGGAGAAACAGCACGTGAGCTGAAAATTGGGCCAGAAGACTCTGCTTTCCCTGACATTCAATTACAAAGGCAAGAAAGACCAAAAAACACTTGTTCTACTTCCAATGTGGTGGGACAGGTAGTAAAAACTATGGAGCACTTCATGGAGAAGTTTGATGTGGACCTGCTCACTGTTACACAGGCCTTTCTGAAAAACAGCGGTGACGTGGAAGCTACTTCATACTTTCTGCAGACAGGGCAGCGCTTGGATGGGTACCCTGTATGGAGCAGAGAGGATGACTTAGAATTACAAAAGGATGGTGAACATGTCAGAAATAAATTGGTAGCCAAATTTGGAGCTGAAAATGTAGAAAAGCGGATAGTGTTTAAAGAGAGTTAACAAGAGGACATTACTGATCTAGTACAGTTGCATAAATGTAATAGTCATTTCAGAAACACAATAGAAAATTTGATCAAAGTTTGAGAAATGCTTTAATTTTTTTGTATTAAAAGGCCTGTTTTGTGTCTCTGCAGATCTAAGAGATGCAGCTGCTTTAATCAAAGTAATGCTTATACTATATATTCTAGTTGGGAAAAGTACACCAGCTTTCAGTGCTATGAGTAATAGTTGAAGTAGGAAATGAAAGTTAAGAGGGAATGATCAGAGATTATATATCTATCACCTAAGTTGTGTTTGAGAGAGAATGCTATCACTGGGATACAGTCATAATTTGAAAAACTCAGTACTTTTAGCCCGAAATTGTGCTCTGGTTACTTATTGTAATATTATTTGAAGTGAGTCCTAAAAATCTGGAATTCATTCTTTTGGTGAAACAAAATGGGCTGGTAAAGGCGAAGATTTTTGGGTTTTTTAACCTCTCTAAATAGTTAACATTTTGGGTTTTTAGCATATTGCACTGTGGCACTCAGAAAATTAAGGTGAAATGTGAAAAAGAACTATATAATGAGACTGCTGCTTCAGGAATCAGTAGTAACACCTACTGATTATTCAATGAGTTATCCAATGTAACCAAATAAATGCTAAAACAGCACTACACAGTGTTTCACTAGACTGAAAAAGTGAGAATTATTTGGCATAGTCATGCTATTCAGACTTTGAACAGTTATTTGAGATTTGTGTGGATGCCAGACAAGCACTTAATTAGAGAGTGCAAGACAACATAGCTAATAAAGTAATTGTTTTTTACATTAGGAATGTTACCAGCTTGGTTTGAAATCCAAGTTTTGCTGATGACCAGGTTCAGGAACAGGAGAACTGTCACGTCTTGCAGCTGAAAACTCCCATTCTAGCTTGGACTGTGTAGACATCTCAGCAGCACCATAGAGTTGCAATGGTCTTGTTTAACAAAACTTCTCTAGAATTCAAAGTGAGAGGTAGAACGTATTAAATAACTGCAATATAAAATGGTCAGATTACCTCTATCTTTTTATAATTCTAAGTGGCACTTGTTTTAAGAGTGAGTTTATCTTATTGAAGCAATTAGTCTAAGGTGCAGTGCAAAGTTCAGTGTTTTTGCCTTTGCAGAGCCTTATGGACCCATTGTCTAATGCTGAGAATCTTTCCATGTGTGCTTGGTGCACTCAGTAGGTGTAAGAACTGACACAAAGACCATAATTCACTCAAGGTTGCCCTCTTTCTACTATTACAAACTCCTAAAAGGCACTGCTTATCCACAGATGCACTTGCTTGTGCATGTATGTAGGTCTAGGTCTATTTTACCAGGTTAAAACCTGGAGGACCCAGAGATGACACCATATTGTATGGTTCTACTTCTGGTTCTGTCTTTTACCATGATAAAAATCCTTGCTTTTCTGTGCTTTGTCTTACCTACAACACAGTTATGCTTCTTTTGACATGCTGGAGACAGTTTGGTTTTCCATATTCCTGTCAGATTCCTCTACTATCACAAAAGGTCAGGAAGGTTCTTTTTGTAGCTCAAATAAGTTTATTTCTGTTATTGCCTGGAGCAGCAATATTTGTATACCTGGAAAAGTGAGCAAAGTGGCAATGCACATACAAAAACTTCGAGTTAAAGAGAATTCTACAGACAGAAATTCTGGGTCTGCAAACAGTTATCTGGAATTTGAGTATTTCCCACTTGCTTTCTTTTAGAGTTAGCCAGCATTCATCAAAATCAATTAATTGCCATGCTTTCATAACTAGAGTTGCCAATGCAAAACTGATTGTATGCACCAGTTTGAAGAGCAACAGACCAGAATACCACAGAGTCAGCTTTTAAATGTCCTTTTGACTGGAGACTTCTCCATCTTACATTTCATTGGTATAAAACCAGAGTTTACTCTTTTAAACTTGTACAATGTATGCTTCATGTTTGTTTCTAAACAGACTTCCGTGATCTTTATTGCATTTGCCAAAGTCATAGTTTTACACATCATCATCAGCATCTTGAGATTTTGGGGGATTGTTGTTGAGTTTTCTTTTTCCTCCTCCAAAAAGTATTTTAAGTTATCTTTCCTCAAATCAAAATAACTTTACATTTTCATGTGACCTGACTGGCAGCAGACTTTGCTGTTTCAGAAAAAATTAAAATCTTACAAATGGTTGTATTGAGGAAACATATCTAAGGGACTGTAATAAAGACATACTGAAATCAACAATTCTGCATTTTCTCTGATTAAGCTTAGGAAGCAGAAGTGTAAGTAATTTGCAAAACAGTACATGAGGGAAATGCATCATGTTACTTTTACATCATTTTTTTACTAACTGGAAACACTGTGAAGGTTCTTATTCAGGTAAACACTTGATACACAGAATTGATTGCATCCACTGAAAAAAGTATTTATAATAAAACTTAAGCAGCTCAAGCTGACATTGGTTAATGTAGAGTTAAGGAGCAACATACTGAAAAGAATCTATTTTTGCTCAGAATCCAGCTTCTTGGCACTTACAGGAGGAAGATCTTTACTATAACTTCAGTAAGAATGAGCTTCTAGCTGTTTTTAGCTGAATATGTTAAGGTCTATTTTAAAGAGACTATAAAGAAAAACAGTGGCTCTGTGCTCCTGTGGCACAGTGCAACTCCCACTTCTCTATGTCAGTATGCCTGCCCTAAATTTGCATAAACACAGCATAAAGGAGGATACCTTGCTTTCAGTGAACTTACTATGAATCATGAGGCCAGTGCTGCCTGCTCAGCATGGATTTTGTCATTCAACAGAATCTCTGGTAGGAAGACTATTAATATTGCTATAACATCCCACCCTTTTCAGGGGTTAGGGGTTTAGCTCTAGGAATACAGATACCCATATTGCTAAGGTAGCGAGTGTTCTGTAGACGTGTGTTAAAGGGACTCTGCAGTTTACACATTAAAAAGGATATTCAGAAATAGGTATCTGTAGGCATTTCACTCCTCCCCATATCTGGTAGCAAGTTTTTCTCCTTGTCTCTGGAACACTTAAAACCAGGTGAAAACAATTCTGTTGTTCAGGTTTGAGTTATATATTCCCATTGGAGGTGGGAGAATGGCATAGTCCATTAAATATATTTTTTTGTACTCCAAGACGAGAAATACTGTCACCAAATATTTCAATAGGAGAACTTCCTGATTTTCTCTTTGTTTCTTCAATCCACCCCCATTAACCTGTCTTCTCAGTTTTGATATTTATGCCAATGAAATCTGTCTTTACCTTGTCTTTAGGATCCTGACCTTAGCATTAATTCTTCCAGCACCCATGTGGACTGTGGGAATTCCCAGGAAAACAACTGTTCTTGGATTTGAAAGCTAGAAGACAGAATTATTTCAGCTAAAAAATAAATGGATTCACATAATCACAGAAATGGTTTCCACATGAAAACCCAGGAGCTTTATTTTCAGCAATAGCTGGTTTATTCCATTTTTCTATTATACAGTAAGTGAACATGAACATTTCCCCACTTTTGCCACTGAGGCTGGATGCTTGGGCACACGAATGGAACAAAAGAAGAACTGGCCTTGAAAATGCAACCATTAAAAATACAAAAAATCCAAAACCAACCAAAACCCAAAAACCCACAAAATAAAAAAACCCAAAACAAAACCAAAGTCCAACATCTTTCCTGAAACCAAATGTCTAGTTATCCTTGCATCTTTTCTGGCACTACATATCCTGCGTGGCAGCATGTCAAGCAATGTTTTCTTTGTTCAGCTTCCTGTTATATTTCCTCTTCCTTTGCAGTGCAATGTGGTTTCCCTCGTCTTCAGCTGTGGACTGTGGGGGGTTTGAGCTTCTGCTATCTGGTCCTACTCCTTTGGCATTCTGTATGCTCCAACCTAAACATTATTTATTTGGAAAACAAACTTGCATTACCTTAGCCTCCATTGTGGCTGTATCTCCAGGGGTCTTAGAGGGTGACCCTGTGCTGCTGATAGCTCTCCTGAATGTAGTCAGGGTTCTTGTAGCACTTGTTCTTGCATCCATGCACACTCCTACACTTCTATGCCTGCACCTCTGTCCTCTTTGGCTCTAGTGAATAGTTCAGCACTCTGCAGCCTTCAGAGAGTAGGTGCAGAGACCAGCTTTTCTGCCTTCAAAATTTGACACTCAGAAGAGTTCTGGGCAAACAGAAGATCCAGAGACATATTTTTCTGCTCTTCTTCAGACTGAACAAGCCGGTAGCCCAGCAAATCCATTGCCTCTTTGCATACATTTTGCACTTTTTCTATTTTCTGGAAGGGAAGTGTCTTTCTCCATGCCTGTGATACTCTCAGTGCATCTCTCGACCCAATATCAAAGGCCTGTGCTCCATGACCCTTTCCATGGGTGATGTTGTGGACCCACTTCTGAAGCGCTGGTGTGAAATGGAGTTCTGCAAACCTGTACATCTGAGCAGCCCTTGCTAGCGGGTCTCTGACAATGTCTTCATAGCGAACCAGCAGATACCGGTCTTTCAGGAAGCTTGGAGCAGCCTGACTTCCTGCCTTGTATATCTCAACGTGGCTTTTGCAGATGACCTGCATTGTGTTGTAGGGCCCCATTTCTCCCTTTGTCTTCTGAGACCCCACAACAATGTTACTGTCGCGTTTCAGGTCTGCCATTGTATTCTCTCGGGACCTGAACACAGCCCGAGGATCACGTACCAAGTGAATGATTTTGAGGTTCAGGGATGGATCAGTGAGAAGCGGATAGAGAACTTTCAGGTCAAAGAACCTAACTTCCTTGATGGCAACATGGCTATAGGTTTTACAAGCTTCCTCCACCTTGCTGAATGGATACTTGCCACAGATGGTTTTGCAATTGCCTGCAGTGATTATGTCACTGCGACTGAATGAGTCACAGGCAGGTGGGGAACACAAGGCTCGGCTTGTCTCCCACTGAAATAAATCAGACTTTTTCTTCTGGCTAGACATGTAAGCATCAAACACAGACATGTCACACAGAAAGACCGACCTGACTAAGTCCCGCACTGCCATGTGTAAGACTTTGGCACTGTTCTGATACATCTTAACCCAAACATGCCATGCAGGCTCCATCAGGTAGAAGACACTGGGGTGCTGGCTGAAGATTTGTCCAGTGAAGGAGGATCCTGACCGCCAGGAGGAGAGAATGAGGATGTGAACAGGAGAAGGTTTTTCTTCCGTATGGGCATTGTTGCTGCAGGGTAGGAAGTGGATAAGAAGGAAGGACAGAACTACCAGAATCAGGAGCACCTGCAGTCTTCTAGACTTCACCATGATTGCAAGGGACCTGCAGAGACAGAGGAAGTTTAGCATCACAAGATGATGAAAAAGGCAAGATGTGGTGCATCAGGCTCCTGTGCATCCCTCTGCAGGCACAAGATTTGGAAAAGCTGCCACACTACTAGTGACACTGTGACAACTACTACACAAGCTGTCTTTGCAAAGGACATAAGTACTGCAGGGCTGAAGGTTTTCTGCAGCAAAACCACTGTTTGTCAGTAAGCCATTTTAATGCAGTCTTAGAAGATACTGAAAAGCTTGTCTGCACTTTTATCAAAGTTTAAGAGCTAGCTGAGTGCACTGAAGTTAGTTGGTACAGACAAATGTGTACTTCACATACATAATCCCTGGCAATTTTTATGAACAAAAGATGCAAACCCTCCCTTTTTGCTGAGGTGTTCAGAATTCAACAGTTCCACATTTTACTTTTGAACACCTTACTCTGACCAATATTTACAATTAATTTTATGCCAAAATGCTGTAAACATACAATGTAGGTTTCCTTTTGTTTGGATTATACTCCTTTTAAAATTTCAGGAAACATTTATTGTCACCACAGGGAAAACTTCACATACCATAGGAAGAAGCTTGGCACTGGAATAAATCCAAGAACAGTATCTCCTCCAGACAGAGCTTTGTAGGCAACTTTGCTAGAAAGACCCATCTTTGTGTAGGCAGGCTTAACTGCTTACCTGCCCTACCAGCTCCCTTCTTAGCCTAACTCCTTTTTAAAGACTGTCCCTTGCTATCCCTCCCTCCAAGCCCACTCATCCTATAGGTCTTTTATGAGAAGACGTACAATACAATGTGCTAGTTGAAGTCAAAGATCTGCCCAAAGCTGGGTCCTTGTTTCATGCACTAAACCTCTCTTCTGCCTCTGGAGGAGGATGGCTGATTATTGGAAAATGCTGAAAATTTTTCATGCCACTGGGGATATGACATAAAAATGCTAATGAAAGAATTCATAGCCTGAATACCAGCTGGCACAGTAATCTGCAGGGAATACACCACTGAAGATGGGATCTGAGGCAAAAAGAATTCATTAATTTTTTTAAAAATACATTAAAAGACAGTTTGCCAATTATTCCTGCCTTGTGTGTTCTCCTTCTGTCCCCCAGCAGTGTCTGACTGTGCCTCAAATACAGGTTGGGTGTCTGCAGCATGGGCCACCCCTGGGGACAGGCTCCTTGTGCAGCACTGAAACCCAGGCAGCATGGAGTGCTCCCCATTGCCATCTGCCATGTTGGCAGTTTAGCTGTGCCACAGTGGTGGAAGTAAACCTCCAGGTGCTTTGTATTTTCCAAGGTGAACTAAAACTGAAAAAACTTCTCTGGTTCCTAGTCATGGTCAAGTCCTTCCAGGGGGATGCACAGCAAGACAGGACAGAGAGAGCAGGGCTTTTAGAGCAAGATGTTAATCCCGGACAGAGCAGCATTCGAGCCCAGGCCCTTACAGCTTTGTACACTGCTTTTGTGCAGTCCACAATTGCATGAGACTCAAGCAGCTATTCCCACGCCAAGCAGCAGCCCCCCTGCACAAACAGCAGAGGTATAAAATCACTCAACTCAGCTACAATGCAGACATTGCCTCCCTACTACATGCTTGCCATGCCATCTGGGTCCACAGTAATTTTGAAGGTTCCCAAAGCTTCCTTAACCTCCTCCTTATGCCCTGCCTCAATTTTCCTCTGCAGCAAAGCTTTCAGACTAATTTTTGCACAGGGGTTACCTCCTCTCGTGATTTCAGTTCCTCTAGTACTGATGTTTTAGATTTTCATGTAGAGTCACTGCTGCTAACAAATGAGGAACAGTACTAATCTGTGCCTCCAAAATACATGCATAAATTGGCTTTTTTATCTTAGTAACCTGCTGTGCATTTGTGTTGAGCTTAGGGTTTATAAGGCAGCAATTATAATTTCTCAGAGTAAGGAAAATACCCAGCCTCATGGGTAAGCCTGGTTGTTGCCAACAGGTGCTATCACAATATGAATTTTACTTTAGTAAATTTACTTTAGTCTGGCAAGGATGAGGATGTGCATTTAGAGAGGGAGTACATAATTCCTGTCTCCTGGACAAGAAGCTCTCTGATTTTTTTTGGTAAAACAAATGGCCTGTAGTGTTCAGGTCTGACAATGAGCTGAATCAGGTTGCTATTTGGACCAACCCTAGGAAGAGCTGCAGACAAAGACTATTGTAGAAATAAGTGATACATCAGCTTCTTCCTTCCAAATGAATACAAGCAGTGTTCACCAAAAGTCCTGGCTTCCAAATGAACTTTGATGATATCGCTTCCATCTGGCACCATTATTATTGTTATTCTAACTCCTGACAGAGTTCCTGGAATATAGCCAGAAGCTGTTAATTGAGAAAAATTCTGTTGAGCAGACATGAACAATGGCATGAAGGTAGATACCCAGGAAGATTTAAAACCACAGAAATAGTTGTTTCTTTGGAAACCTACATGGGAGTTGCCTGAGTGTGAGAATGAAATCAGTTTTGGTTTTTTTTTTTCCAGGAAACAAGAGTATACTTTTGTCCCAGAGTAGAATAGCTAGATGCTTTAAGGTATTTCACAGAGTGACTGCTTTTGATAGAAATGACCTCATGTGAGGCCACAGTTTCAACAGCTTCTTCACTCACATAAGAAATAGTGGTAACTGTTGCCATCAGAAGTCTCTTGCACAGAGAGTAAAAGGACTGAAATGAATTGTGTGCCTTTTGAAGAGGAATGAAAGAGAAGCATCATACTGTACTATGTATCATACATTCCCTAATATGAGAGAAATACTAATTATATAACCTTATTTTTCATCACTGTATTTCTCAATCATGGGAGATGGGATGTTTCTAAACTAAGCTTAGCCACATTTTCTCTACAGCAAGCATCCACAGTCACCAGTGACGGAATTAATTTCATATTGCAAAAGTGAAAATATGAAGCCCTCACAGAGCTGAAAGTAAAGATCAACCCAGAATAATTGAGACAATCTCAGCTGCAGAACAAGAAAAGCACACTGTAACAGTGTGTGTGCCAACAGAGAAGAGAGAGAAGAGCCAAGATTTTGCTGAGATCAGAAAGAACTGGAAGAATCACAGGGCACAAAGGATGCAATTTAGAAACAACTGAAAAATAAAACAATGCAATGTCAACAGCAAAGGTATGAAAATATTGCCTGAGCAGCTTGTTTCAAAAAAAAAAAAAAAAAAAAAAAAAAAAAAAAAAAAAAAAAAAAAAAAAAAAAAAAAAAAAAAAAAAAAAAAAAAGCACAGTCTTAGCCTTTTCTAGAAACAGACTTTGGAAAAGCTTGATCCTGGCAAAGAGCAAGTGTCAAAGAAAGCAGCAAGAAGCCCAAGGGAAATGTACCCATGAAAAGCACCTAGCATTGGGCGCCATATCTCCAAATTACAGGTTTATTAAACATGCGCATGTCTCTGGCAAGTGTGAGACAGTTACAGCCCAAAAACACCTTGTGCTGTGCAAACTAATATTGCCAGGCTGAAGAAGTTCTCCAGACATGTACAGGTTCCCCAGTACTGTAATGGTAGCAGTATAACAAAGAGGATCTGGCCCAGAGAAGCCCCTGTCTTTGATGGCACTGATGGTTGCTCACAGTTTTTTCAAATGCTGCTTCAATTTGGCCTGGTCCATTTCTGCAGAATTAGAAGTCATCTGCCCATTCAGGGGTGAGCAGCTGGCATGACTGTCACTAGTGGGAAAAGCTGAGGAAGGGCACTGACCGACTGTCTGGAGAAGCAGAAACTAGCCTCTAAGCCAGACCCACAGCTTCTGTCCGCAGAAAATTGTCACAACTTGCTGGCATCAAGAGCATCTATACTAGATACCAAGAAATGGTTGAAAACCTCACCTTAACAAGTCCTTTTGAAGCACCACCAGACCCGATTCAAGCAAAGTTGCCTTCACACACGTTTGCTGCTGTGGTACACACACCTCCAGGCAGTCACACGAACAGCTGTGCATTCATGTACAGGCGCTCTGCCTTCATGCTGGAGTCTCATACACACATGGACGTGGCTCCTACCTACACCTGTGCCTGTCCCTTCCTGTCTTCTTCGTGTACATCCCAGCTCTATGACTACTCTACACTGCCCGCCTACTTTGACCAGCCTTAAACTAGAAAACTCCACCCTGCATGAAGCAAAAGGTACAGAAATGGCAGTTTCCTACAGGGGTGTGTATGACCAGGTGCTGATAGTAAAGGAACAGGGACAGAAAATTCATGAAGGAGACAGAGAGACACTTTTAACTCCTATTACATGCTCCAAAAAAGACTGCTGCCTGTAAAAGCAGGAACAGGGATGTCTGTAGAATGTCAGGGCAAAGAACAAACAAGTTGTAAAGAGGACCAGCTTGCCCACCATGAGTGCAGAGATAGGGGATACTTTCCTATTGCTCTGTCTGCTTGTCATGTTGTCAGCAGATGCAGATTCACATAAAATCTTTTTTACTCTTTTCTGTCTGTACCTTGCTTGAATGAAACATTTTGGGGCTGGGAAAGAAAACTGTGTGAAAGGACAAGCTGTGAAAGGAGCAGCTGGACTTGGTCTGTTAATGATTCACAAGGGTGCTGGAACTGCAATGGGACTGTGCCAGGTAAGTAGTGAAACAGGGCAGTACTGGGTTTAAGAGAAATACTTACACACAGAGACAGTTGCTTTGGGTCATTCCTATTCCAGATCTCATAGATTCTGTCACACAGTCTGGAGAGATATAGACCTCTTAGTGGTGTCCTCTTTGTGTTCCCAAGGACCTCACTGTTGCTCTCAGGACAAGTGGAGTGTAGGAGACAGCAAAAGAAAAAGTCTGGGCAAGGCTGGTGCTTCCAGCAGGAAGGACAATCTGAATGGGGCAGGTCATGTTCCTTTTCACTTGTTGCATAGCAAACACAGATGGTCAAGCCCTGGTAACCCTGGGCTGGGAAACAAGGTGAGAAGTTGGCAGTGGTCCAGGTAGGGCTCTGTGGAGGACCACACAATGTTCAGTGCAATCTGGACTTCTGCTATGTGTTCCCAGGCCCTGCACTGACACACATGATTTACCTGTATGTCATTAAGTGTTAGAAAACATTTGCAGAGGCCACACCACTCGAGTAGCTCTTCCTGAAGGATTATTCCTCCCTGGCTAACAGTTGCATGAACGGAGATGTATCAAAACTCCTGTTCCAGCTGTATGCAGTTTGCCCCAGATATGCTGAACCCTTGGCATCAATATGTAGGCTTTATGACAGCACTAATACTACTGCGCAGTCATCTTGTCAAAGGGTTGAGCAGATTTTTCAAATAACCATGTCCCAGTTATTTGTCTGAGCTTTCCACAAGGCATCCACAGTAGTATGAGCAGTTGCAGAGAGGAGGAGAATGTGCTCTTCCCTTGGATTTGGGAGGAGAAACTGGTCTGGCACACTGTATTTCCTGAGACCTGCACATTTTGACACTTGAAGGAGGAAACCTCTGGCTCCTGAAAACAAACAACACGCTCCCTCATATATCTGACTCAAAAGCTTTATGATGCAAAGCAGAAGCATACGGGGTCGGTGTAATCCCAAGCACAAATATAGGCCATGTGGAAAATGGACTAATATCAGTTCTAAGAAGAAGGACTTGGTGCAATGTTGCTGTTCATACTAGGGCCATGCATGCTCTCCTGTGCTGATCAGTGGATTTGAGTACTACTATATTGTGTTTTGAAATGCACAGTAAAAACTCTGCCTCTTGTAGTAAACAAACTTGACAGTAATCTACAAAAAAAAAAAAAAAAAAAAAAAAAAGCTCTCTGTGTCAATTGCTGTCATTACTTTCAATGGGATGAAGGCAACAAAAGGGAATTCTGCTTTCAGAAAAGAGCCTTTTTTCAGTAGGGATGTTGTATACAGTCACCCTGGTTGCTCTAGAAGTCATCATTCATAGAGATTGGAAAGAATGCAGCAGCAAGGGAAGCTCCAGAATGCATAGGAGCAGAGGTGCAATGCCTATATTAAATTCCAGTCAAAGCAAATTATTTCTGAGCTAGAGCAGATGTTGCCCCATATGCCTTCCAGAACAAGGAAAAATGAGACAAATTACTGATATGGTGTCCTATATGGCAGCATCTCTCCAAGGACAGGCTGATGTGCCTGTGGCTTTTTTATTGTATTTGAAGTAAGTTTTAAAGTTATATTTTTATTTAGAGGCAGTTTGAAATAAATAGACTTATCTGAATTGGCACATAAGAACCCAAATATGTGTTAGGCAAGAGCAAGGATACTGGCTGACCTCCCTCTCTCACCCTTGTACAGTTGCAGTATCATTTATTGTCTTCATTATAATACAGCACCCTAATATGAAGTGGTTGGGGAACAGGAAAATGAGAAAACACGAGAGAAAGAAGGTCACATAATACTTTACCAACACATAAATGAGAAAAATAGTAAAAAAAAAAAAGAGTATATATTCAACTTTTGAATTAATTTCACTGGTCAGCTTCTGCCTTCTTTATGTACATAGGCAGTCTAAAACCAGAAACCAGCACAGGAACCGAAGGGGGAGCAGAACAGCTAGTTTATAGTTGAGAGAAACAAAAGCAACAAGCAGACCTGAAGCATGCATAGCCCATGCAATACACTGGAGTGCAGAAGACCCTGTGCTAGCACCAACTATTTCTGTCAGAAATCCAGGAAATAAGTAATTCAGACTTATTGACAACACCTCTTTGCTTTGGCAAAGCTTCAGGGAACACTGACCCAAGACAAATAAGGAAAACAAAGACAATATATGACAAAGCAAAGGGCTGGTATAGATCTGGGCTCACAGCACTGTAAGAGCCCACATCAGACAGTCAGACCATGAGGAAGATTCTAGTGCTTCTGCCCTTCAGGAGGCTCTCCCCAGTGCTGGGGACGTAGGCTGAAGGCTCGTGTAGAACACACAACTTCAACCTTGTTCTGATCGATTGCTAAGCTTAGCTAGCCCGGTAGGTGCCTCCTAGCTACTGGAACCCCACTGAGGATATGTCTTGTGTGGCTGTCCAGTCAATGGCATGACTTTGACCATGCTAAGCCTTCCTTCTCCTGCAGAGCTCCTCTACACTCTCACACTCAGGTTTATAAAATCCCTCCCAGTCACATTAAAAAAGTACTCTTTCCCAGCCCACTGCTGCCACCTCCTCTTACATCCACAGTTTCTTCCTGGCCACTTCTCATGCTTGTGGAAACCTGTATGTGCCTCTGGTGGGTAATGCCACCAGAGTAGGTCAGCTCCTTTGACCCTTCCCAGGGTGTGCTGACAAAGCAGCACGCCCCGGGAGAACAAGGTTATGTGCTAGGCCTCACATACAAAGTTTTTCACAGACACCTCCTCTTGGGGTTCCACTGCCATGCACTGCTCAGGCCTTACCTGAGTTCCCAGAAATGCTAGGCTCTGGTTCACCAGGGCTTCCTTGCAACCATCCTGGGTCCAAATCAGTGAAAACCACATCTTCCCATTGCAGGTGTACAGCAAGGCTACATGATGGTAGAAAGCAGGCTAGTGTAGACAAGCTCTTGCAGCCAAAGGCCAAGACCCCAAGGCAAGAATACCCTCAGGGTCTAGAGACCAGCTGAAGGCAGTCAGGGCAACTAGAAGAGGGAGTGGGTGAGGCCAGTGCCAGGAGCTAGATTACAACTGATTTTCCTAAAACACCTGGGGGAACTGATGATCTCACTGCTGGCAGGTGCAATATGTCCCAGCTTGCCTACAGCGCCAGTTTCCCTGTTGGGGTTGAACCTACTGCCACCCCCTTTGGAAACTGAGGACTAGTACACTTCAAGCTGAGAAGTTCCTTCAATTTCCCAAAGAGAGACCTAGGCATGAGGTTGCCTCCTTGCCTAGGTCTCCATATCTGAGGTATATCACCCTAATCCTAAACATGGCCAGCACAGAAAAGTGCAGATGCACAATGAAAACCTGTGCCAGGGTACACCACTGTTGCTCCCCAGCTAAGACAGGGAGGATGGCTGTGGATCAGTGTGTGAGCTGGCACAGGCAAGATGCAGGATCAACCACAAAAACACAGATGAAATGCAGAGTAAATTTATTTCCATTACCTCACCAACCAGGGCATCCTCAAAGTAGGACCCAGGCAGAGGTACGCAAACAGGGATGCCAGCACTGTGGAATCTAGTCCATGCTCAAGGATCACCAAACCTGCTGTTTTCACATGTATATCAGGGATTGTTGCAGGCACAGTTTATACCACTGAGATTTGATCTTTACCACAGCAAAGCAGGAATGTCAAGCATGTTTAATAGGGTGGTTCTAAGTCTAGCACAGGCCTATTTATATAAAGACAGATGTACCAATTACAAAACACACAAGACTAAACAACTATTAATATAATAGTGTTTTTCTACACTTTTCCTGCAAGACATTTGAGTGTATTTACAATCCTCCTTGCCAACCTTCCTTTACCTTCTCATAATCAGTTATAAGGCACTAAGGCAGCTCTGCTAAAGCTCTGGAGACCCTGTCTGAGCATCTCCAAAGAGCAGCTTCAGATCTGTGTCTTGACTTCTTCCTTGGTCTCAATGCTGAAGGGGTTTTCTTTGGCACAGAGTACCTCCAAACTCCAACTTAGGCAAGTTTGTATGGCTGGCAAGGTGCTCTAACCTACACCCCCACTATGACACAAAGCATCTGTGAGTATAATACCTGAAAAATGATACCAGCACATTTGTGGTTTAATGCTAGTTTGCTATTGCATCAGGAAAAATCTAGGTGTGGTCAAAAGGATATCTTTACAAAAGATGACAATGGAGGATGTGGCCTTGAGAAATCAAAATATCATGAGATTATGAGGTATGTATATGCCTATGTTGCTGGCTCTCTCAGCCTTCTCAGTCAAATGCTGCTTGGTCAAAAAGAAACAGGATTGTGTTAATTATTGCAGAATATTTGCATGTTAACAGACATCTCTCGGGGGACTCTGAAAGAAAAGGTGTTTCTGAAGGAAAAGTGATCTCAAAGGATCAGCTTTCTCTAAAACCAGGATCTGTTTATTAGTAATGGGGATTAAAGCCGCAGAACCTCAGGTACATGGAGAAGAGTTGAAGGAAGCAGATGGTACATGAAAGCTGCAGTAGGTTCAATGTGGCATAACAATGCAGCAACATTATGTTGTAAAGGTCTCCTGGTCCAACAGACCCTTCACACACCACCCTGCTTGTTACTTGTCAATGTCTTTTCTTAAGCAGTTCTGGTTATTCAGCTCTATTTGAAGGTCTAATGGCACAAAATCTCTGAAGCTGCACACCATTCACCCATAGCTTCTCTCTTTTTTTGTTCTGGGATTGCTTTCTTTGAAAGGAAAAGATGTAGCATGGACACTTAGCTGACATGTCAAAGACCTTTTCATACACTGCTATCTTTCTCATTTAGCCCTCCCCTCTAATAGAGTGCTGGTACCCAGACTTTCTACTGGGAGAGGTAAGGGGGGACAATTAGACTGTTATAGAACCTGGGTAGGACTGGCTGGGTGTAATCTAGAGCTGGCTCACTTTTCTTGTCATTGGGGAGGCAGGGTTGATCTGTGGATCCCAACCCTGTAGGAGGACGTGTGAACAGAGCTGAAGGTGGCAATATAAGGCACTCCCCAAGTTGCCCCTCTGAGAGTTCCAGAAATGGGTCCTGAGCATCTCACCAGAACACATTGCAATGGGCATTTATCATCTTCTGCCATTTCCACTGAATAAACAGAAAACAGGCTACCAGTTCCTTATTACTTTATGGAGCTGACGTATTCAGCAATCAGTAACCTTGGTACTGCTGGCATGTCACAAACACCATGTATAGTATGAGCTGTGGGGTGCCACCCCATGATTCACCACTACAGCAGGAAAGGCATGCCAAACTTTGAGTACTCAGGCATGGCTGGCTCCAGTCCTGGGGACAGTTGCCTCCCTGCAGCAGCAAGCACAGCACCCACTGCTCTGCTAGGGTCCACAGTGGGGGAGGCTGTGAGGGCCAAGGAGAAGGTGCAGACAGGATTGTTCTGTGTGTGGGGAGTGGACTGGCTGCCACAGCAAGCTGCCAACATCATCGGGGCAGGAGGGGCTGGCTCCAGTCTGTGTCAAGCTTTCAGGGCCCATCCTGTTCTCAGGGTTGGTGGGTTTCTTTGGGGGTCTGAGTCACTCTCACCATATCCCTGCTGGCACACAGGATGGCCCTGGGCAGGCAGGGACATGCCTGGTGCACTGAAATACCATGAGGTGAGCAAAGGTGACCCACACAGTGACCAAGCCTAACCTACCACAACAGTAGGACAGTGCAGGACTGCCATGTCAGAATTTTTATTAATAAAAAAGTTACAATAACTTACTCCCTTTATCACACAAAGGGCTCAGTATAAAGAGCTCTGGCATCCTAAGGTAACACAGGGAAGTGAGAGATGGGTACTTTTCTCTTATCCTTCAAGACAGCAGCCTTCTCCTGTCCCCAAGGGGAAGTGTGCCCAGCACAGGAACCACAGGCCAACAGGGCCTTTGCCACAGGGCCCAACCCAGGAACAACCTTCTGCCCCGGAGTGCAGCTGGTTCACAGGTAGCACAGACCAACACAGGGCACAGATGCTGATTCTACAGAGACATGGGGGACTGGAAGCAAGAGGATGTGCAAGCTCTAGTGGAGGAGGAGAGAGAAGTGTCCTCTTCTTTCCATAATACTGAGGAGTCTATGGAGCACAAAAAGTGAAGCAGCAGGACAGTGGCTGCTTACAGGCAGGGAGAGGTGGGACTGGTTGGAAGCAGCCTTGCCTGCCCAGCTGCTGCCTCATACAAGGTCTAGCCTGACAGAGGCAGAGGGCCAGCTGTAGCTACTTGTCACACTCCAGATCCTGGGCCCCCTCAGCACCCTGGTAGTGCATCTCACAGAACTCCTGAATGCGACTGCAGGCCTCCAAGATCATCTCCTCAGGTACAGTGATCACTACACGGAAGAAGTTTGGGTACTCAAAGCACTGAAATGAGAAAAGATGAAGCTGACAGATTACCTGGGATAGTGCCAGTTTTAGAGCCCTGCCTTGGCACCATGAGCTACATCAGCACGTGAATACAGTCAATGTATAACAGGAGGGCTTGGTTCTTGCTCCCTTAGACCATTTTTCCTGTTCCAAGCAAATCTCCCATCTCCATCTGTGTAGACATGATGCTGTGAGAGGGACAGGCCAGAGGACTTTGCGTGAACTGTGCAGACCAGACTGTGCAGGGAATGGGCTGAAAGGAATTAGCGAATGAGAGGCTGGAGAATATTTAAGGCCCTGTCCATATTCAATGTTGGAAGTGAATGCAAGGCACAGATGTTCTCAGCCTTCCCTATGTCTGGAGGGGTGAGGGCCTGGAAATAGACTGAGGAAAGGAACATAGGTGGGAGCACTCCTCTGAGGGAGAACCTTCAGCAAGGAAGTGTGGGGGTATATGGATTTCAGAGATACAGCTCTGCCAGGCTGAGAAATACTGGGCAAGCTTGGAGTTGGGAAGATCCTGGCAGCCTGACTGAGTGCTGTTAGTGAGCCAGAAACTGCCACACACAGCACAAGGAGCTGACAGCCAGCTCCTACACACTATTACAGACCATGGACACTTGCATACACAACTCCCAGCCTGTCCTCAGAGCTCAGGGTTGCAAACCCCTACAGTTTCTCCCACCCTGCTTTGGCCTCACAGCTCCTTGGGGCTCTCAGTGTTAGGCTCACCGTGGCTGGCAAGCAGAACACAGACTGCTCCGAGATGAGTCGCTCAGTGAACTCCACATCATTTTCAAACTCCGGAAAATGCTCCATCTCTATCTCAACCTGCAGCAGAGGGATGTAACATGGCAATCAAGGGCACCAAAACTATCTACAGTGTCCTTGTTTACATACATGGCCCAATGACTTCCTAGTGGAGAGCAACTCTCTGCCCTCAATTTCTTGCTTATGATTTGGGCTGCCTGGGATGAAAGACAGAAACATATAAATGAAAACTGGGCTTCTGAAAAAGCCGTCATTAACTACCTAAAGATAGAATTTCAGTTAAATGCTGCTTCAATAAAAAAAACCACCTGATAGAAAAGACACAGTAACCAATTAAAAGTGAAAAGGAATAAATAAGACATTGAGACAGAGCTTGGTAGATAACTCAATATGCATTAATAATCCTGTCATGCAAGAAAAAAATTAATGTTTTGGTTTAAAATAAAAATTAATATAGCAAGGTCTAGAATATTATGAACAAAATAAATCCTTGTAGGATGATATAATTGGTAAAATGACATGAAAGTGGTAAAATCTTCAATACATATTTATTTTCAGCATTTGGAAAGAAGGCAGCTGTCCATCTCTCACATAAAGACAGTGCTATTCTGGCCATTTGTTTATAGAATCCCAGAATGGTTTGGATTGGAAGGAACCTTAAAGATGATTTAGTTCCAATACCTCCACTACAGGCAAGGCTGCCACCCACTAGATCAGCTTGTTCAAGGCCCCATCCAGACTGACCTTTATAACCAAAGAAGACTTGAAACATCTTATTAAAATATTCGTAAACAGGTAATTTGAGAGATAATTTGCTTACATAAGTTCCGAAAGAACTAGTAGAAAACAGAAATAAACACATGACTTAATTTTAAATAGACAGCCAGCTACTGTAGAAATACAATAAGTATGCAAGAATCTTAGAGTTGTGCCTCTACATAAAAAGCATAAGAAAAATGACCTGTGTAGCTCCTGGTAAAATTTGAAACAGGGTCAAGTGATAAGGAGTTTTCTATAGAAATGAGTGAGACAGATACTGCAGTATTGTCCAGTTCTGAGTCCACATTTTAAGAGTGAATGAAAAACTGGAAACATGAGATCTAACAAAATAAAAGGAAAAAAAATTAAAATGTGTCAAAGTGTCATAAATTTCTCAACTGAGCTTGATGAGATGAAAAAGGAAACTTCAGCACATTATAAACTTTAAAGCAAACGGGCATGGGAAAAGGCAGAAGAAAAGGCAACACCACAGGCAGAAGACAGGCATGCTAGCATGAAGAAGGCTACATCTTCTGCAGGAGGTATGATATTCTGCCTTGTTTTATAGGGGCTTCCAGTTGCCATTGGGCTTCATTTCCAGGTGAAACAGCCTTGTCTTGAAAAGTACAAATCACAGAGTGTTCTGTGCAGAAGCAAGTGGGTTAAGTGTACTGGCCTCTTCTCTGTGAGCAGTTAACAGCATATCCTGGCCTTCTAAGGTGACAAAGGGATGCATTTACAGGAAAATTTGAAAATACACAGTAACGGAGACCTGGTGGCAAGTACCAATCTGAATCATTGACTAGCTCTGGCAACCAGATGTAGGGTGAGTGTTGGTGATCCTCACTTACCATCAGGTACATAGCTCCAGCAGGCCTGACAGGCTGAAGGCCAGGGATAGCTGATAAGGCAGCATAACAAAGGTCAGCATTAGACTGAAAAGCAAAAAGGAGAAATTTCAAAACAGGAGAAATTCCAGAAAACAGCTTAGTGATTGGAAGCCAAACTCTGGACTGGGACTATGAACAGGTTTGCCAACTGCAAATAAAGGGACAACAAATGCAAACAGTATGGGAGATCATGGCCTTGAGTACAGTAGGTGTTACTGAACTGAGCTCAGAAAGTCAGTGCCAAACTCCATCCCCTGGGTCAGCAGCTCCAGATGCAGAGATAGGCTGCCTGAACGTTATTACAGTCAGTATTTCTGCCTGTTACAATGTCTCCTGCTGAAATTTGATCTGATCTCCCTCCAAACAATCTGTGAACAGCCCTTCTTGACCTATAACAGCTTGTTTACCTTGAGGATGCTTAGGGTGTTGTGGTAGAACTCAGGTGGCGTTCGGTGCAAGATACGCTCCAGTGCTCCTTGGACAATTGTACAGGGTCCTAGGATCCTTTGACTCAGTCTTAGAAGGCCATCCCTGATCTGAGAAAACATAATATTTGCAGCTTATATGATGCTTCCCTAAAGGAAAGGAACAGCTCCAAGGCTCACTTCCTGTATTTCTGTGGCTGTTCACACCCTTCTCTTCAGTGAGCATACAAAGTACTAAAGAACATTTGTTTGACTATATGCCAGGTTTAGCAGATTATTTACAGTGCCATTCTCTGTTCCTTTGTTTCAGATTGAAATGCCAACAGAAACAACCTTTGGATCTTCCCAATCTGACTCAAACCAGGCTGGAATATAGATAATACAAGTAAAGCCAGAGCTGTTCCAAATACAACTTTGTATTTCCCTTTGGTTTGTGCCCACAATCCACACTTTCAAAGCCAAGTAAGGACAATCAATATTAGCTTTTCTGCTCACTCATTTGGTCCTCTCTTCTCCCTCTTCCTCTGCAGAGAGCCTTCTAGGTGGAAAGGTCACTGCAGTAGATGGTTGTTCTTGTAACACAGCTGAAAAATAGCCAGATAAAGTACTGGCAGCACTGTGAGGTGCTTTGTTCTTACTTTTATGAGAAACCATGTAAGAGAGCACACAGACACCACACATGGACTCCACATGCTAGATAAGCCATGCAATACTTTCAGTGCGCAGTGGAGCTCTCTGAGAAGTTAGAAGCACAGAAAAAGGAAAAGGCATACATTAATGAGCAGCAGAGAAACTGAGTTACAGTGTAGATGTGGGTAGAAGACCATGTCTGGGAGCTGATGGAATACGGAAGGTACATGAAGCAGGTAAGCACAACTGGGTGACACCCAGGCGAGAGCAAAAGAGCAGTACCCGCCTGTATCAGTTAAAGACCTGGTGATCCACATACTGAAGACTCTGCAAGTCTGTTGCCATGACAGCAACACAGGGGTTCTCACCTCATTACCAAAGATGTCTCTCCTGTCATGAATTAGGATCCAGCCCATCCGCCAGCCAGGGACTAGCCATCGCTTTGCCAAGCCACCGCAGGACAAGATTGGTACATTGGTGCTGAGAGTTGCAATGGGCTCATACTTGCAGTCAGCGAATACCTGTGACCGGAGACTGTGTTAGGGCTGTCCCTGCCTTTTACTGTGAGAACTGGGGCAAGCATGAGGCTTAACAAGAAGGGATGCAGGGAAGCAATGGGAAACCAATGGTGAAAACTCACAGCTTCAAAGTATGAACATGGTAAGCACACAGATATAAAAGCAAGCTGTTTGTGAAGAGGAAGGGAGCTGGATATGAGAGGTTCCCCTAGGACTGTGCTCCAAAGGACTGGGAGCTCCAGGCATGGCCCCAGGCCCAAGGAAGTGGAGCTGTCCTTCACCTCTAGAGATGTGGCTGTCATGGCCAAAAATTAGGTACATCAAAAAGGACAGGGAGCATTGCGAGTGCAAATGACTGCAACGGACACTCACCATGTCTCCGTAGATCTCATCAGCCAGGATGGGCACACACTGTCTTGATGCCACTGTGGAAGAGAGAGCATTCAGCCTGGTCACCTGTATCCTCCATGGGAACAGACTTGCCCTGCAGTCTGCAGGGCCTGGCAGAGTTCTGAGAGAAGCTCTGTCTCAGGGCACAGGGTCCCTATCTTCCTCCTACAGACTGTTCATTTGGTGAGCCTGACCACTGAGGATCCCTGCCCTGACTGAGCCTAGTTCTGCTCCAACTGGGTGAGGACTGCCAGTACAGCCCTCCCTGTCAGGACAAGGAAGCACAGGGCTCCTGTGAACACTCCAAGTGAAGAGCCAGAGGGGAGAAATGAGCAGTCCAAGTCACACAGAGTTCTTGAGGAAGACATATGCTCTGCATGTGTCTAGATAAGACAGCACCTCCACACTGAGCAAGCCCTCATTCCTGAGGTGGAGTCAGTCAGAAGCAAAGCCCTTGGCCATGGTGCTGTGGTGACTGAGACATGAGCAATGGGGGCAGACATTAGACTGCAACCATGTCCCAAGCCCCAGAAACACACAGGCAGGCTCACCTGCCAGGATCTCCTGGAGGTGGCTCCTGCTGAACACAGAGCCACAGGGGTTCGATGGGTTGTTCACAATTAGGCAAGCTGTTTTCTCATCCACCAAAGACTCCAAGTGCTCCAAATCAATTTCCCAAGCTTTCTCTGGCTAGTGAAGTGAAGAGAAAAGGAAGTAAAAGCTGAGGAACTGGACCTGCCACACAAGGTCAGATGTGCCAGGGCACCCAGGGTTACTCACGTTGCCTTCACCCACTTCCCAGGTGGGACAGAGTATTTCTGAGAGGAGAAATGTCAAGGCTGCCCCTTCTGGGCCTGCCACTACTTACCAAGAGATTATAGAGTTTGACCTCTATTCCCATAGACAATGCCAGAGTCTTGTAGAGGGAGAAGCCAGGCCGTGGCACCAGGATGTTCTGGCCTGGGTTGGCCAGCACTGCCAATGCAAGCTCTATGGCCTGGCTGCAGCCGCTTGTTAAGATGACATCCTGCAAAGAGCACAGAAATGTCAGTGGGAAGCACAACCACTCTGAAGTACTCTGGACACACAGGAGTGACATAACATCCAGGCTCAGCTCTGCCAGGGAGAGCTTCACAGCCAAAAAGACAGTGCCAGGGCCTGACTGGAAGCAGGGAAACTTCAGCTGGTGGAAAGCAAAACCTCCTCCTGGGGAGGGTGGAGGTGAAGGGCTCAGGGAAGGGATGAGAGCAGCAGGAGGCCACCTTGGGACAAGGTGATTTGACCAGCCTTTAGTCCTGTAACTGGGCAGAGAGGGAGAGCTGGGGCAGGGCCCCCATGCCCCACAGTCTGCAAGCAGCAGCACCCTGGCTGCACTGAAGTGGGGAGTGCCTTGGCTGGGCACCAGTACCTGGGCCTTCAGTGGTGCCTCCGGGCAGTTGTAATATGCAGCCACAGCTTCCCGGCAGGACTGGTAGCCTGCGGAAAGACAGTCAGACATGGAAAGGAGGTTTTTATAGATTCTTTCCTTCTTATTACCAGTAGTGTTTCTTTCTTCTTACCAGTAACAGGCTCACAGCTGCTGTGATCTGGGGAAAGCCCATTTGGTGGTGTCCCAGGGTGGCAGAGACTGTCCTGCCTCAGGCCAAGCATCATGCAGCCCCAAGGCTGGGCCAGGATGGCCAAGAACAGGGACAAACCTTGGGCAGGGAGGCAAACCTCGGCCCCAGCATGTCCCAGGGACAGAACTGACAGGAGCAGAGTGGTAGGTAGGCAGGCAGTTTTCTTAGCCAGAAGGAAGCCAAGACATGGCTTTCATTGTTTAGTGATGGCACTGGGGCAGCTCTCACTGTCACCAGATGGAGGGTCCTGTGATACAGGCATGATCTATGCTCTGTGCATGCTTTTGGCACTAATTGCAAACAAGGCTCAGGGTGTCAGTGAAGTCAGGGAGCCCAAGGAAACTCTTGGTTAAGGCAAATCAGAAAGGAGCTCGGCTGTAACCCATGGCAAGGACACACAGTCCCAAGCCCTTCTGGGTTCTTGATAACCTGTCTGCCCCAATGGCTAGGGCAGCAAAAAGCTTCTGCAGGACCTCTGGGCCTCAAACAGCCACACAGGAAAGAGCACACAAGTGTATCTGGCGGATACATATACTTGTGTGTTCATGTGACTGTTGGTGAGAACAGCTGTAGGGAGCTAATGGAAAGATGTCTGTGGGCTCCATACAGCTGCTGTGGGGTAGGAACTGGTATATGACTTCATCCAGCTCTCACTGGATGCGCGTTGTCAACTTACCAACAGATGGAGCATAACCATTGTACTGTCCTGAGTCCAAAACCTCCTTCACAGCCCGTGTGACCTCATCATTTGTGGGAAGGTTTCCAAAGACCGTCGGGTCTCCTTTTCAAAGATTGAAAAAACAGTCAAGTTCTAGCTGATCTGTGACAGGCACAGAGCTGTGTGGTTGTCTGACCTATCCCTTGGTGTTCGCACAAACTTTGTGCTTCAGAACCCTGCAATCTGTCAGCCACACAGCTGATCTAAATACCTGGAGGCTTCAGCCACAGGACTGTGCTCACCTAAGGACAAGGAGATCATGGCTTTCTTTGGGTTGGGTTCCACCTTCATGCTGTCTACAATGGCTCGGACAGGATTGAAAGTCTTCTTTGACATTTCAGAAGCTCTGACAGCCCATCTTGGCTTCCGACCCTTCACCTTCCCTGGTGATATGGTGTTCCCAGTGTTCTTGAGATGAACATCCAGCATAGGGGCATGGTCTCCATGGCCATTCACTTGGATCAGGTATGAGTCCATCCTGAGAGCTGTCAGTGCAAAGTGAATTTCCTGGGCTTAGTTAACACATGTCAAACAAGGAATATTGTTTGCATTTAGGGATGCAGCCCATAAGTAAAACTTCCAAAAGCTGTAGACACTACCTACTGCCTATGGACAAAGTAGCAGCAGCAAGTAAGGCCGTATTTGGTGCCAGGATGTAGTGAAACCCCATGCATAAGTGAGAGAGCAATACAGTGGGAAAGATTAAGGCATTTCTGTGTGTTAGCTGCACCCCTACCTAGCATGAACCTCCTGCTCTGAGGAGGAAAAAGCCCTGCTAAAGCCAGAAGCCAAGAATTAGCAGTATGTTGTAGTCACTGCTTGACTGCAGATTCAATATTCCACTGACAGAAGGACCAGGTCACCCACTTTCTCTGCCCAGCTATCAATTTGTACACCTCAACCTGCAAACACAAGGGCTGGCCCACTATGTGTGTTCATATACAGCATGTTCCTCCAGTCTACAGACAGAAATGCAGCGCTATAAATCAAATATCAGATGCCAAAAAGGTAGTTCTTCTTCAATGTTAGCAGGATGCACTAGATGTTAGCAGGATGCACTGGGCAGTGGCAGGATAGAGGTCAGACACTTACTTTTACTTCTGTCAGCAAAGAACAGCCCAGCTCAGAGAGCCTAGAGCAAAAGGCAATGTTTAGGAAATGGAGCAGGACTGGTATGGCCAAGAGGGAAATCCAGGAGGCAGCACTGCCCCAAAGAAAGGGCCTGTAGTTCAACCTGCAACTGAGTAACAAGCAAGGCACCAGCAGAGGAACAGCTGCCTCCAAGACCCAAAAATGGACACAAAAGTGACTTACACATTCCAGCATGTTATACCCAGAACACTAAATAGACCAGGCAGGAAAAGCCTAACTTACAAACTGATAATGACTCAGGGATTTCCACCTGCAGTTTAGAGATAAGGCACAGAAGAGGCAGACCTCCTGAGCCACCTTTTTTTGCTAATACTAGCACACTACCTTGTAATCCTGCCACAAACCGCGTATGCTTTCTATTCTGTCCTATTTCTCTGCTCCACTGAAAAGCAATTCAGTAAACAGTGGCCCTTTCCTGTTAGCCCTTTCCTGCATAGCTCCACACTTGCAGATACAGCACAGCTTCCTCTTCCTTGATGCAGAGAGTGAGCCAGAAGGGCTGTAGTGTTGCCTGGTTCAGGCAAGATTTGCTATCTGAACAAATTTCTCAGTGTTTCAGTGAAGTTTGCACCTAGAGATGCCCCATGCTGCTACAGTAACTCTACTAGCAGTGCATTATTAGGCCATTTATAGCAACCCAGGCTGATCTAACAGGGTCACAAAGCAAGACTTCAGCTTTTGTGCTAAAACCTTCTGTCTTTCCTTTCCACCAGAAGAAAGTCAGCTGAAGAAATATACAGCAGGGCTGCAGAAAAATCTGAGCCTAGAAATGAGCCACATATCTCAATTCAACAGCTGGGCTGTATCCCAAATATGCAGTCTGTCCTAGCAGAGCTCTTACACCACCCGCACCACATGGTTCTTCTGAAAAGGGGAGCTGTAGACACAGGCACAATAGATACCTTCAATGTAGGCAGCCAGGGAAGAATTCCCCACTATCCACCTGAAAGAAGCAAGGCACCAGAGCACAGCACTTTACCTTCTACAGCACAGACAGGGAGACACCAACAAGCCTGGAGGTCCAGTCCCTAGTTTTCATCCAGGACAAATCCCCTTGAGAGGAAAGTCCCATGAATTTTTGCCCATGAAATAATCGCCAAAACTGGGCGTTGAGACTGAATCATTTAGCCATTGGCTCACAGAGAGGGCTGCTCTCCCCACCCAAAAATGACCTCTCCTCCCCTTTGCAACTGTAGTCACTTCAAACACCTGGAACATGGCTCTGCATTAACTCTTTCAGTGGGCAGCTTAAGGACACAACTTGGCTTCCTGGCGTGCCTGGGCTACCATCCTTTGCCACCACTTTCCTCAGTCTGCAAACACTGCTGGAGGCAAATCTGAAGAGTCCAGGTATTCCAGTATTAGCACCTTGTAATTCACTGAGAGTGGATTGATGGACCATAAAGCTTGAGGAAGCCATCAGTCTGTCCTGAACTAAGAGTTTCTGGGATCCCAATGTACCAGCTGACAAACACCAGTTTGTGGCTTCATTACAACTGGGACTCATCTTCCTCAATAAACTACAGGGAGAAAAGCACTTCTCTAGCCAGTGTTTTGGAGGCACCAGGACCTGAAGGATTAAAGTAAGCTCAAGTGGTCATTGGTTTGGAGGGATTTTTTTTTGCCTTTCCCTTTTTTTGTTGTTGTTGTTCTTGTTGTTGTTGTAAGACCCAAGTAAACTCATAATTCTGGCAGCCATCAGAAATTATACAATTCTTATAATTCTTCCCCCTTTGATGGGACTACAAACCACAAATGATACCATTCCCAGAAGGCCCTTTTTTGCTAAGTGACATGAACCTATGGCTTCCTGCCTCTTAATTTTTGCGTGACTAGGATAAATGAGAGACATCTGCACTCTTCCTGCCTTCTAAGGGCTGCTCCAAATGTTCCCTTATTGCCATGGCAGCAAATGGCCAGGGACTGAAGAGTTGCTCAGGAACAAGAGGGACTTGCCAACCTTCAAGCAAACAGACTGCTGATGCCTTCACTGCAGAGGCCAGTGGTCACTGTGAATTTTACCTGTTTATACCTGCACCCGAGGAGGTATAAAGGGCTTTGCATTCAACCCATGCTCACTACACAACCATCAGTAAAGCTGCACCTCCCCAGGTGACATGAGTGGCCCCTTCCCTCAGTGCTGTGGTTGGGCTGACACTGCTAGGGAGCCATGACCTGCTGTGGACCCCGTGTTGCAATGGGCACTTCTGAAGCCACAATGGGGGCCAAGGATTCAGGGCTGGAGGCAGGTTGGAAAGCAGTGGAGTGCGGACAGCAGGTCTAGCCAGGATCTTTAGCCCCAGACTGGAGGGCAGACTTCTCACTGCAACTAGCCCCAAGGCCTTTGGACAAGGAATAGCACCTTTCAATAGCACCCTTTCACAGAGCAACATCTTGTATTGAAGCTGTTTAGACTGTCTTCTGCTGAGGGCTGCACAATTTCTCTCTTCTTTTGACTGAAACCTGACATGAGTAACCTTTGGAAGTTTATGGAGGCCCTGTCCAAGCACCTATGGGTTATTTTCTCACTTCCCCCAGCTGGCCCCATCTCTTACCATGCTGCAGCCCTGGCAGGGTTAAACATAACATTGGGAGGCCTCAAGGACGATGCTGTGTGTTCTGCCTAGCAACAATCCCCAAACTGACGCAACTGGAGCTCTACCCGTCATACTGCACACAGCAGTGGGGTTCAGGGGAGGCCACAGTGGAAGTCTGTTGCCAAGGTGGGGAAAAATGCGGCTCTGGAGAAGACATAGGAGGCTCAGTTACATAAGGCTGAGAACCTGGTGAAAAGCAGGGTGAGGACAGAAGTGTACAACAGCATCATTGGGTTTCTCCTGCTATAACAATGGCCTTCTCCTCTCACTGCATGACTCCAGTCCTCCTCCAGATGCTTTCACATGGGATTTGCAGCCCCTATCCTCTCACCCTTTGCTGTTCAGGGGCTCACAGGACAAAAGCATGAACACACAACTCAGTAATTAGTATTCCAAAAATATGGCCAAGCCATCTTTCTATGGTGCGGTGAAAGAGGCAGCCATACCCTGCGGGATGCATTTCTGCCAGCAAGGCTGCCATCTCTCTGGACTGCCAGGCCCTATCCTCCCCACAAACACCCCACCCTACTGACTTGCCACCCTCTGTAGTTTACTCCTCTGTCCCAGCAGGTCAACCTCACAGGTATCTTGTGCATACCTCTTCAGGTCCCTCTTTCTTGTGTAGCTTGAACAATTGATTTTTATCCCTTCCCATTGGAAGGAGAAACTAGTGATAACTTCAGCTTTTTTTATTGTACTGCCTTTCTCTGGTACCAGGGCTTCCAGAGTCCCATTTGTGTGAGCAGAGGTGAAGCCAGTAAGACTAAGCAATTCAGCTTCCAGACTGAGCTGCAGACAAAAAGAGGGACTGACAAACAGTTGTTTGAGGAGAGCACAGGCTCAAGCATTGCTGCACTGACAAACCTGTCTCTGTCAGACTGCAGGTAGGTCATACACAAGGGTAGTTTTGCCAATTCAGCATGCACTGAGAGGTGCAGGGAAAGGCACCCAACTAGTACTCTGCATAAAAATCCACCAGGGTCGGTAACAAATCACTTCACTTGCTACCTCCTTATATTTTGCTTTTATTTCCAGCAATTTATGTCTACTCCTTTCACACATTGGTACAGCACCAGCCAATTCAGGTTTTGTGTGTATCCTAACCTCTGTTTGGTCTCTGCATTCACACTTGAATCAGCTTTTAATAACCAATTATATGACCTTTCCTTTCTCCTTTTTTTTTTTTTTTTTTTAAATCATTTTTTTTTTAATGTTTCATATGAGCAAATAGCAATAAAGCCTCCATGTCTCTCACGAATGTTGTGTCTGTTCATTGATTTGACAGCGTCATTGTAACACTGCAGCAGGTTTTCTGGACACAAGGCACAAACCTGACAGGTCATACAGGCACCCTGAAAATGCATATATTCAGAGTTAAAGCTGTCTGATAATGTAGGCAGGGCTGCTGTGCCAAACCTGCATGTATCTGCATGAGCCTCTGATCAAGTGATAGTGATGCTTGTGCTTCCAGTAATCTTAATTGCTGAAATGGAGCATGAGCACCTGTTACCTCTTTGCACAATCAGAGCAGAAAAATCAGCTCCAAAATAGCCCAGCCACACTCTCCAAAGCTGTGCAAACACCATGTTTAAGAGCCAGAAAGATGGCACAATCCACAAAGAGTGGCTCAAAGCCAGTAACAGGGTAATTCAAAAATTTACAGTAGCTACAGTTTATCTATCTACCCATATTAGGATCAATTTTGATTTGATCTCAGAAATAAAACTCTGAAATACACTGAAATTGCACAGTCTAGCTAGGGATGCCTATTCTGGAAAAGCACCCTGTGTACTGCAAGTGGTTTGCAGGATGCTCTTGCCATCTGTGTGAGCTGGGCTTTGGAAAGCAGAGCATTAGCATCTAGGGACTGTCTGGTCTCTGCATTTCTTTTGGAAGGGGAACAAGGTGGTTCTCACAGTACATAAATCGAGGGCATTACAGGAGGGAAATTGTCCTCCTAGAACTCTCCTCTGCAAGCCCTGGGCAGATTGAAAACAGCTGCATTAACACACCTCAATAAGCACCATCTCCTACTATTTGCCATTTCCCTCCATCAGGAAAACTAGACAATGTAAATGCCATGATTATGGCATCTTGTTTGCCTCCCACAACACCAGCACTTGAAAATGCACCGCAGCAGCCTGACAGCAGCTGTGCTGGGCACAGCAGACTGCACTCCCCACTGTGGTGCTGGGAGGGGGCAGAGTCCACCAGGTACAGAACCTTTTCTTGCTCAGCCTGGGCACTGAGTCCATAGGCAGCACATTGAGAGATACAGCATGCACTCCAGGTTTGTGGGGAGTTGGAAGCACCAGTGAGCTACAGGCCCAAAAGCCATGACAAAAGACTTGCAACTCCTGTTACAGATGCTGAGAGAAATGTTCCACCAAGTGTGAGTGTTACTGGTTTCTGAGTACAGGCATAGTGAAAGAAAACATCTTGTCCAGACTTGTGTCTGTTTACATCCAGGTAAATATTATCCAGGTAAGTGCATATCCTGTGTTTGACTTATGACTTCAGAGACTTGAGCTGTTGCATGATATGTCATAGCAGCTGTCCTCCAATGGCCTTGGAGCCACTGGAACAGTGACCAGCTAATGGGGGTGGTGTGGAAAGGGGTGCAGTGGCTTTGTGGGGTGAGATGACACTGTGAGCGTATAGTGGGTGGCGTGGGCAGCACCAGCACTTCCTTCTCACAAGAACACAGACAGGCTGGCTTTCTCATGACTGAATTAAAGCCCCAGTGATGGAAACCTACCATCTGTTGACCAATCCACTCCTGCAATAACTGTTCATATCCTTATAAAATGGTGGAGCTGGAGTGTGTGTGAGAAACACTGAGGGTGCCTAAAAGAAATCCCTTTTGCTTCAAGCTAAGCTCTCTGTTTCCTGACTATGCCAAAAGCAAGCAGAGTGAACAAAACATTTCCCTGCTCTTGACAAGAGTTTTTTACAAGTTTGCAAGTTGTCTAGACACCTGTCTATTAACAAGCTTGCAAGCTGTTAAAAGATGCTTGTTATTTCAAATGAGATGTCTGTGATCAATCTTTTTCTCATAGGTTGTATTTCTAGACATTTCTTTTGCTTTCTTCTGAATCCCCTCCAGTTGATCCACTTGCCTCTGGAAATACAGTGTGCAAGACTGAGGCCAAGCCAGTGCTGAAGTGGGGGCAGAAGAATTTCTTCACCTGTCCTATGTGACATTCCTGTTCATACACCCTAGAAATGTTAGTTTTTTCGCAACAGGATGACATTGTGGACTTGAGTTCAGTTTGTCATTCACAGTAACCTCCAGTTCTTTTCTACAGTACTGCTCTATCGTCATCATGCTGCACTCATTGTCCCTGTGATTATTTATTTATGTGGGATGGTCAATAAATCTGGTTGTGGTGTTCAGCAGTGATTGTGCTGCAGCTCCCAGCTGCTTAAAACTGGAGACATATGAGGCAGCTCATGACTTGCTTCTACCACTTTACCCTCCAAGTTCCCAGGGAGGGCATTGAACCAGGTCAGAGCTCTTGGTCCATGGCAAGCCAAACCAGATCCTTCCCTCCCTAAGCACAGCAATGATATCAGAAGTAGCTAGACACAAAGAAGCCAAAAATAATAATAGAAATAAATAATTACAAAGAGAAGTCAAAACAGTAGATTAATATTGGTATCAACTTCCTATTGCTCTGCTCTGCTGACTGGTATTTGTTGCAGTGAGAACAGGAACCCAGAAGATGATGCTGACCAAGTTCAGCTACAGTACTTTGAGCAGGAGTGAAGTGACACAAAGCATGTTTTTAGGATTTCTCATTATAGCAACAGAAATGAAATAAGACTCCTAGAGTATCTTGAAGTTTGTACCTCACTTTTTAGCAGCAAACACTCTAGTAAAACACTGAACACATCTCCAACAGAGCAATACTTCCTGTCTCTGTCTTTGAACAAGTAAATCACACACAAATCCAAATAAAGCTTTATCTCAGTTTGTTGGATGACCAGCAGCAACACTGTGCATAAGAAACACTTATTTCATCCCTTCTTGTGACTCATGTTTAGTTAACTTAGTTCTTCATGTCCCTTTAATGTCAGTTAAAAGCTCTACTAAGAAAAATGGCACTGTGCATGACCCTAAAAGTTCACAAAGGGCTCCTAAAACGTTTAGACCTATCCAGTAAGGAGGCCTGCTTTCTGGCACATCAACATGAGTGATGCAACATATGCTGATGAACAGGTGTGTGCAACAGCCACACTGCTGAGCACCTGCACTATCTCCAGACTCCTTGTCCTAAGCTCCCTATGGATTCTCCATTTTCTAACTTAGCACACAATTTCTGTTCCCTCTATCTGAACTGGGCATTGAAGCAATGGTTCTCTTGTTTTCCTTCTCTCTTACCTCAACCAAAGTAAATTTTAAGATGCATTTTCAGATCTCTGGTCCTTTGTGGAATCAGGTGAAATGTTGAGAAGAGTGTTTTCCCACAGTGCTGAGGTGCAGTTTTTAGGCTTTTCACCATGTAAGTCTATAGGGTTATTGCTGTTGCTCCTGTAGAGACAGAAGGGTGAAACAGTCTTACTGTTGCCACAAGTCTTGCAGCTGGAGGAAATGTATTTCTGCATCTTAGAGACAAATTTAAAATGTGTGCCTCTAAGGGCACATATTCAGGTACTATGTCTGAGACCTTACAGTGTAACTGCTTTCCCAAAAATGTGTTTTCCTAAATGCAATGGAAGTATTTCTTTGCAATTATTTTGCTGTAAAAGCAAAGAGCTTTTACAGGCACTGTTTGGTCAAACTCTTGAATAAAAGAATTTGCTCTGAATGTGGAGTTTTCTGTATTTCCATATTGTACTGCTGTTTACTTTTTTCCCTTTCCTGAATCAGCTCTGCCCTTACCAGCTCTGAGAAATTCTGACACTTGTTCATGGGTGAGATCCTGGACACTTGCCTTCACTCCAGCCACCACCAATAACCACAGGAGTAATTCATCACCCCCTCTGCTGGCAGGTGATGGCTGCTGTACTAAGGCGTCTGCCTGGATGGGAGGACAGACTGGCAGCAGGACATTACTGTCAGTAGAAAGGTCACATCATATAGTCTGACGTGGCCTCCAGCAAGAAGACACAAAAGGGGTCTATTTAGTTCTGTATGGCTAAATATAAGGTAACATACCTAAAGAAAATTACCTGAACATGGTCTGTCAACGGCTGAAGTGGAACCTGACAGCTGCACTGAGCTGCACTGCAGGACAGATCCCAAGGTGTTAGTGACTGTATCTGGAGACACAGGCTCTGTGCTGGGGCAGCTGGAGAAGCAACAAAATGCTGTGTATTGCCAGGACAAGACAGAGACAGTTGTTTTGCTGATGTAACCTGCTGGTGCACTTGTGTCTTGAGTGTGCAGTCACCGCATCACAGGATGGGGAGTTAGGGCAGGCCCAGAGAGGCTGGGAGTGGAGTTGCATAAGGGAACAGAAAGGCACAGATGAAGTTTGCAGAGGAACGAGGTGGCAGAAAAGCTGAATAAGAACACTCACCAAAACTCACAGCACAGGAAAATGTAGAACTTGTGCAATTGTGAAAATTTAATTAGTTAAATTCAGTCAGTTTCCAATGGGTTCTAACGAGTATGTTCTGTGGCAGGTGAAAAACCTCGAGGCGTTATCGCTACAAGGGGCTGCGGGGACAGTGTCCGTGGAAGCGAAGGGGAGTGGGCACACACGCCAACAGCCGGTGAATCGTGCGGAATTGCCGGAAGAGCGCGCACCTGCGCCGGGCAGCTGAGCACCTTCAGACGGGGCAGGGCCTGGCCCGGTCGGAGCTTCCACCACTTTAGAGAGGAGCCGGCGGGGCGGAGGCGAGCGGACAAGACGGAGTTCACCGCGCCGGCAGTATCCCGGCCCGGCCCGGCCCGGCCCCCCGTCCCCAACGCCGGCGGAGCGGGGTCGCGCCGGGCCATGGCGGAGCGGGGCAGCCCCCGTGCCGCGCCGGGGGGACGCGCCGGGGCGGGCCGGCGGTGAGGGCAGCGGGCGGTGAGGGCAGCGGGCGGGCGGCCGCGAGGGGTCCGGGTCCCCGTCAGGGCTGAGCGGACCGGGCTGGTGGGAGCGAGGGGCCCGGACGGGTCACTGCCATCCCTATCATCTCTCCTTAGCGTCGTACCCGCGCCGGAGGTAGAGGGGCCGTGGGGAAGCCGCGCCGTGCCAGGGTCGCTGGAGCGCCGCCGCCGCTGCCTGTACCTGCACACGGGCCGGGGTGAGCGCGGCCGGCGGGAGCCGCTCCCTCCGTCGCGCGGAGCGCAGCGTCCGGCCCGGCTCCCACCCGGGCGCTCCTCTGTGGCTGCAGACTCACCTCGGCCTCCCCTCCAGCCTGGTGCCAGATGGTGGAGGTCCTGCTCGCCGCCCTGATCCTGGTCTGCAGCTCCGTGTCCTGTGGCTCGGCGGGAGGATACACCGGCCTCCCCGCCCTGGGGGGCATCTACTACTACCAGTACGGCGGGGCCTACAGCGGCTTCAGCGGGGCGGATGGGGAGCGAGCCCAGCAGCTTGACCAACGTTTCTACTTACTGAAGCTGCCCATTGCAAGGGCAGCGATGGTCGTGGGAGGGTGTCTCCTGGTCTTCCCTTGTGTTCTAATTTTGGTTAGTGTTCTGCAGGTCCCGTGGCACTTCCCAGCATGGCTGCTAATTGAATGCACCTTGTACATAGTGATTGCAGTTGGCATAGTGCCTGGTCTGTACTATTTCCTCCATTCTCTGCTGAGTGTTTATAATTCGTCCGTGTGCAAAGAGAGAGAGCAGCTTTATCAAAGCAAAGGCTATCAGGGCTTCTGGTGCAGCCTGCATGGGGCAGAGATTGCTGTTGGCCTATTGGGCTGCATGGCTGCCATGGCATACCTGCTCAGTGCAGGCATAGCTGTCAGAGATTACAGGACAGTTCATGGACAGAAACAGAAGCCACTGCAATTATAATAACTTTCAAATGATTCCTCCACTCCAGTAATGATCTTGATTTTTGCCAGTCTCCTTACTCCTTTCTTCTTTCCTTTCTTCGGGACAGTACAGCCTTAATGCTACAGAACACTCACCAGGCTGGCATAGCTCTAACTATGGTAGAGTCAGGCTATTCCTAACTTGAATTTGCATTATTGAGTTATTAGTGTCTCAAAGCTGATGCAGTGGATTGTCTCTGCTTCACAGGCAGCCCTTCCACTCTCAGGTGTCCCCTTCTCTGGTGAGACCTTGATACAAGTAGTGCCACTAAATGCATCTGTCAATGCATGTAGTAGTAATACATGCTTTCAGCTTTTTGTAGCTGAAACTGTCTTTACAAAAGGCATGTGACTTCACTGAGAAAAAGCTCTTAAAAACAAGTGACTGAGGCCCATGGTTGTGACAGCTAAATATTGTTTCCTTGTAGGTCTCTTGGAATCAACAAACAAGAGTGAACATGACATTTATAAGGCCATGAAAAAATCCTGAAAAAAACTCTCAAACTCAGTCTAACTTGTGATACAATGCCTTTTCAAACTCCTGGAGAGGGTGCATTTATGTATTAAATGGTCTTTTTATATAACTTCTATACAAGAGTTTTGCTTAAAAAGATGCCCTGGGTTGGGATAATCAGACAAAAGTTTTATGAGATCAAATGGGTGATTGAATATAGGAGTATATTGTTTTTGAAATACATTTTCAATGTACAAGTTGGAGAAATGAGATGGTGCTTTTTTTTTTTTTTTTAAACATTTATAGGAAATTTAACTGGGAAAAGTAGCACTAGAATCACCAGCTGATGTCTCAAAATGAAATGCCACTTCAGAGCATTGTCCACTGTGTGCATTGCTCATATGAGGATGGAACCACCACAGTCTCACAGAAGAGTTCTGCCCATATTAAAAGAACTAAACATAACAGAAACATGCTTTGCCTTGGATATAGCTCTTCTTTCACTGGCACAAGTGACTAAATCCTCACAATTACCAAAACCATGGAACACTTAGAACTAGAGACACTAAAGTAAAACAGGTGCCAAGTAGGAACACTTTTTTTTTTTTTTTTTTTTTTTTTTTTTTTTTTTTTTTTTTTTTTTTTTTTTTTTTTTTTTTTTTTTTTTTTTTTTTTTTTTTTTTTTTTTTTTTTTTTTTTTTTTTTTTTNTTTTTTTTTTTTTTTTTTTTTTTTTTTTGCCTTTTAACATCAAGTGTCTCAGCACAGGAATTTACAACGACAGTCCATTGTTGTCCTGTTTCTGTTAACATTTCTATATTTCCTCTTGTTGCAGCTACTTCTAGAGCTGTACAGTGCTACTGAGAGCAAGTTCACAAGGCAGCATTCCTCTAGCAGGAAACAGAAAGCTGCCTTAATAATTGGTAAGCCTAATTCTGCCCTCACAGTGTTCTGAAAGAAGTTTTTGTATGGAAGGCTGTTGAGTGAAGTAGCACATAGAGGTCAGTGAATAACCTGCAGCACAGCTGCTGCTAGACACAGCTACCTTTGACTGGGATATTGCTGAGATTTTTTTCCAGCACAGTAACAGAAACAGAATAAACTCTCAGATGAAAGTAAAAATCTTTATTGCTAAGTCAGCTGAAAATTTGATGCAAAAATACTCGTCCTTCCTGAACCTCTCTATACATCAGAGTAAAGAATCAATGGATTAGGGTTTTCCAGCAATCTTATTTGCCTTTCCAAAGCAATAGATAGGCCATAGTGCTGAGGGCATATTCATTGGACAACCTACTCCCATACACAATAAAAACAGGGATCATTATAGGTGCATGCTAGAGTGGGATACAGAAAATACTTTCCTTTTTAAAAACAAAAGCATGAAAAAGGATTATTTAGTAAACAGTTGGTACACTGCAATATTTAACATGCGCCAGGTCATATGAATAATTTAAAAAAGGTAATATTTTAAAATGTGAAAAAAGAGGAAAAATACAGTTAAGTCTTTAAAGAGCAATAGAACAGCAGACAATGATTGCACAAGACCAAAGACGTGATCTGCCTGAAGAAAGGCCTTTGGCAAGTGACACAAAAGCCACCACAACTGTCTGGAAGGAGTGCAGAAACCCCACAGGTCCAAAGCCTTAGGTGTGGCTGAAGGTCCTGTGTACTACAAGAAAGATTTCAGACTTCACAGCAGCTTGTCCCCAAAAGACAGAAATACTTCCTACTCCTTGGAACAGGTTACCCTCCTGTCTAACTGAAGAATCCAGTCTGGTATGAACAGTCTGTGATGCTGCCTCCACTGGGCCTGTTCCTTGTTCTGGGGCTACTCAACTTGGAGGCTATCTCTTACCTTTAACATGTGGGCCCCTGCTACCCACCACTCAACATAACCTTTATGGGTTCCTTTTACAGAAGCCTTTCTGGACAGGACAGGACAGAGTAGTGCCTTCAGAGTACCTGTCTCAGCAAGCATGCTTATCAGCAGAGCCAGAATTACTGAAGAGATGGACCAGCAACCTCCTCAGCCTTACCTGGCTGTGGCTGCGTGCAGTGTGGGAGGGTTTGCATTGCTCAGCAGGGACAAAAATAGCCTGAGGACCTCAAGGTGAGAACCTCTCTCTAACAGCAAGTCTGCAAATGAGTGGGACATTCTCAGTGATGTGGTTATGTGATAATCACATAGTATCTCTGCAAACTCCAAAAAAAAAAAAAAAAAATCGGGGAAGGGACTGGAGAACAGGAAGATAACTGGGAAGACACTTTCTATACCCTGCTATGAGTCCTTCAGTAGACTTGCTCCTTCATACCTGTTCTGCCTACAGCAGTGCTCCTTGGGAGCTTGAAATCGAAGGTAGTGTTAATAAATAAAGTAGGGGAGACATACAGGGAGGAAGAAAAACAAAAAGTAGTGGAGGGAAGCACTCTTTTTTTTCTATGAGTTGTCCTCACCAGACAGATGAAGATAACCCAGCCACACCACTGTCTGACCAATGTCAGAAAAAACCCCATTTCTTTGGGTGACAGTGACCTTGAAGCATGTCTCAGCAGTTGGAATCTTGTGTTAGAAAATCCAAGACATTTGTATGAAAAAATTACGCCAGTGTCTTTGCTGACACCCAAACCTGGCCTAGGAAAAAGCAGCACTTTTTGTGATGAACAGGCACTATTTTTAATGCATGAAAAAGATTTTGAATGACTGAAGAAAAAGCATCACAATGCTCTGGCTGAAATGGAAAAGCTTAATCCTTGGAAGAAGCACATGGAAAATATGCACAAACTGCTTGAGGACACCAGCACTTGCCTTAGTCAAACAGAGAAAGCCTATTTGGAACAGGTAAAGTCAACTCAGCCTGTGCTGCCTAGAGTCCATAATACCAGCTTCACAGGATTCTGCCTAGAGTATAAGAAAGATAACAAGCCATGTCTTCCATGACAGTTCATACCCATAGAAAATAGGAGCTGGCTGCATTTAAACTCCCTTTTTGCTTCAAAACCAGAGACAGCACTGGAGAAAAAGTCTAAGTAGGAATTCCTTCAGTTCCATTCTGCCACTGCCTCTAAGAGGTACAGTTCAGAAATCTGCATGCTCCATTGTAGAGCTGTGTTTTCCTTAGTCCTTCAACACTGAGCTAGGTAAGAGCCATTCATTACTAACTCCTTGTGGCAATTCTGCACACAGTACTACTGATTCAAACTGGCAAGGACACACTGGACTTTCCACATCAGTGCAAGAAATAGAGACCTGATTTGCATTCATACGTGCTACTTAGAATGCAGGGCTTGTCAGAGTCTTACTCAGAAATAAGGGTTTCTGTATCAGTCCCATACTGAATGGAAGTGTTCTACAGCCCTTTCAGATAGCAGAAACTGTGAGGCTAGGCATAGATATTTGGTAAAATTATCATCAGTGACAGACTCAAAAGTTGCAGTTGAATACACTGGGATGAACCTTTCCTGCATACTTATATGATGATAACATGGAAGAGTTTCAGGGTTTAGCATTTGAATATTTTCTGCTGTTTTTCCTCTGCCTAAAGGATTCAAATGCTGTTGTTTCTGTGATTTTAAGAATTAGCTTCAACCTCCAGTTCCAAATGAAACAGGCATTTAAACAACAAAAAATTGTGAGAGTTTAAACTTTGCAAAAAATGGGGTTGTTTCATGATTACACTGCAACTAGCACAAAGTATATCCTAAAATGTTGCTCCTCATGCGTGATAAAAATACCTTTTATTCCTAGTGAGAAGAAATTCAAGGTGCTCTGAAATCTCAGTAAAACTCCATTAGATTTTGTCAAAAGATCTATATTGACAGAATTCCACAAATAGTCTGCATAGTATTTCCTTCTGAGCAAGGCCTAAATTTGATCCAAAAATAGACAACTCAACCCCCTCAGATCTCTTCAGAATAAATGTTAAAAGTTTTCTTCATAAATATCATTAATGAAGAAAAGGCACTAGCCCACATCTCATTCAGGATTATTGCACTACTGACATGACAAGGACAGCTGCTATCCAGCTCTGGCAGAAAGGAAGACAGATCTGCATGCTGCAGAGGCAGTGATCTCCACAACCCTTATACAAGATCATGACATGGGCAACCAACTTACACTCTTTACCAAAAATCCTAATGGAAACACAAGGCATCTGAGTGCAGACTAGCCAGTTCATCATTAGTGGGACTGTTTTAAACATATTTTTCAGTGCTGATAAAAACGTTAATACGATGAAAAGTTTAATTTTTGCTTTTGTGCTGAAGGCTAAGCAGGAACAAGTACACTTTCACCTTGTTTGTGGCCAAATTGGGCACATAACATTAAATGCTAACTTGTATTTGGAATGCGACTCCTGCTTCCAGAGGCAAAGACACTGCAGCTGACAATGCCGAGGTTTATGTTGATGGAAAAGAACATTGGATGCTTCTGCCAGTCTTAGAGCAGCACACCACTGTTTACAGCTTGGCTCTTCTGACTGAACACTGAGACAAGCAAAAGCTCCTGTCTTTATCCTATGTTTTCTGCAGAGGAGGCCTCTACTGTGAAGCATCCATGATGAAGGTGGCCAGGTTGCTGCTGAGGTGGGTCTGTGCTCTGCACCTAGAACCACTAGATCTACACATTGCCTTAATCAACCAGTCCTGAGCTGATCTTTCCTATGCTCCATATAAAATGCATTGGTTTGCACCTGCTTATCACTCAGCTATATATTTTCTCATCCTGCACAGAATGATCCCACCATAACCTTCACTTTCCCCTACACCAGTGCTCATCAGAACCCTGAGTCCTCCGCTGTCCTAAGAACATCCATTAGGAAAAGTCCACAGCATACCTGCTGTTGGGTGCTTTCTCCCCTTACCCTAAATAATAAAGTGCTGGGCTGAAGGGAAAAAAAAACAGCTTTTAAGTGCAATAAATAAAAGTGCTTGCAATTAATGTGTGGGACTCAGATTCAAAGAAAGAAACTGAGAGTTTCTAGCCAGGCAGACGCCTGGGAAAGAGCTGGAGAGAATGTAAATAATTCTTTATCTCTCTTGTTTTTCACATTGTTTATAGTTAAGTTCTATCACTGTGCGTCAAGCACTTTGCACCAATGCTGTGGGTTGTTTTCACTTCAGAACCAATGGATTTGGTCCTTGTGAAGCTCTGTATAAAAGAGCAGTGTATTTTGAATAGATCAGAGTTACAGCCTTCTAGGTCAGAGTCTCTTCATTCCCGTCCTGCCTCAACAGCAACATTAATGTAGGAAACCATTCTCAGGTCAGCTTCATTGCAACTGGCTGTATTCTTTCAAGGAATAAAAAAGTCAGGTTCTGGGGAGAGGGGTGGGACATGGCATCAGAAATATTCACAGGACTCTAAACACTGAGCATTTCTCTCTCTCAGCAGCCTCCTCACCCCACACACACATACACTAGCCCCTTTCTGGCAGAACCTCAGGATTCAAGGACTTACCAGACAGTCCCTAACACAGAGCTCAGCAGCTGATCTGCGTGCTCATAGGACAACTGAGACACTACAGTAGTTAAGTGGACAGCCCAGACGTTGACCTTCCTGATTCTTCCTCAACTCCATTAAGGAAGCAGCAGGTGTCTGTACTCCTTGCAGATCCCAGCTCTCTCAGAGGGCATGACAGCCCTTGTGAAACAGAGCTTCCTGGGACAGATAATGTGGGAATGGTACTCATAGGGTTACAAAGCTGTGTCAAACTCATCTGGCAGGGATGCTGCAAGTTCTTCTTTCAGCTCCTGATCTGCTCTGTCCTTGTGGTGCTGCTTCATTTGTTCCTTCACTTCCTCTTCCAGATCAGGTGGCACCACAAATTGATCTTCTGGCTCCATCTGGGATGGAGCAGCAAAATAGCCTGTCTTCTTCTTAGGTGCCTCTGTCGCTACTTCAATGAGGTTGAGGCTCTCCTCCAAGGGCACTATGGAGCCATTGGAAAGCTTCTTTCCATAAAGACAACATGTGGAAAAAGATTTTTGGAGCTCACACTTCTCCTTGAGCCCTCTCTGCACAGTGTTGCTGTTTACACTATTCTGCCTCCGAATGATGAGTACAAGCCCAGAGTCATCCTCTGACCCTGGAGCAGAAGAGCTGTAATCTGCACCAGGATGTTCCAATTCCAGACCCTTGCCTTTACAGCAATGGATGTCCACCTCTACCTCCACTTTACTGCCATTTGTTATCACACCTTCCACAGGCTGCTCATCATCACTATCTAGACCATTGTCAGACTGGTTGCTAGAAAAGGTGGCACTGGAAGGTTGGCGCTGAAAGATGCTTGAGGGGGGCACAGGATGTAGGCTGCAACGTCGTTCTTGTCGTGGTAGCAAGCTGCCATCGAGACCAACAGCACCATGTTCATCTGATGCAGTAGAGCCCACCTCACTGCTAACCTCAGAAGCAGATAGTTCACTGCTGAACTCTGAAGCAATTCCACTGCTACATGAAGGTGTTGCTGGTTTGGTGGTGGTAGAACTAAATCCCCCAGGGCCTGTCAGAGTGAGGCCGTGCATCTCACATGTGCAGTTGTCCTCACTGATGTTCAGACATACCACCATTGCACCAACATTGTCTTGGCAACCATAGCTTTGGGCTAAAGTGCAGAGTTTTTTTGCAGCAGCTAGTGGATCGTGTAGGTGCCGCACAGCTGAGACAGCCTCTTCATAAGAAAGGTGTTCCCAGAGAGCTTTGTTCCCTAGAAGTAGCAACTCATCTTGTACAGTCAATGGAATGGAATTGACCTGTGGTTTGGGCAGGATCCAAGGATGCAAGTACGTGCAGCCCAGCATCCGAGTACAGCAAGTCACACCATTGACTTTATTGTCCTGCAGATAAGAGAAACAAGGCAGTAGCATTGGAATGCTGGTTTGGAGCCTCGAGAAATGCCAGTTACACAGCTGCAGCATTGGAGAAAGGGATCTAGGTGCAGGTACTGCAGTGCAGACATTCACTATACCTGATGACCAGGTACAATAACTGCCATCATCCATGCTGGCAATAACACACTTTCATCCTACAAGACCTTTTGTTGCACTCTGAAGAATTGTAGCAGACTATTCTGAAATGTGCAGCTAGACTACCTGCAGTACACTGATCAGAGAGTCTCACTGATTAGTCTTATGGGAAACTTATTTTTTTAGTACATGTGAGATGGTGACTTTTGACTTTCTCAGTGCAAGACAGGTTACCCAGACATTAAGCTATTTCTGTGTATTATTTGAACTATTTCCCTCTTTATTAATATATAACTGCATTCTGAAATGTGGACACTACATCCCAAGGATAAAAAGAACAAGTAAATAATCTCAAGCTGTTTTTGTAACCTGGACGTATTACCCCCTTCTGCTAGATGGTCCCCTGGCCAGCCTGGCAGTGGTCTCCCATAAAGAAAAATGCCCACAATCCTCAGTCCCTTTTCCGAGTCAGTGTTTTGAGTTTAATTTCAGTGTTCTTAATTTCTGTATCCTCTGGGTGTCAGCACTGCTGCTGCTGCCAAGTATTAAAACCCAGCAGATGAGATGCACAGGGAAGTCTCTTACACAATAATTTCACTTTTCTTTTTCAGAATCCATCAGTTAGCCAGTTTTTAAACTATGTAACATGATACATTAATCCCATTGTTATTTTCAGTCAGTAGCCACAGTGCTATGCCTTGAAGAGCTGTCACACAGTGACACATTATGCTTATGGAAAATAGTTCTATTTAGCAACTTAATACTTTTTAAAAGACCAACTGAGCATACAACTACAGTGACTGGCACTAATTTCTCAAGATCTTTACAGATATATTTTTCCCACTCTTTGGAACTTCCCTGTTATTTCCAAGTGTTTAGAAAGTTAACCTTTACAGAGTTCTCTAGAAATCATTTTAATACTTTTGCATACTAGATGTCATCCTGTACCCACAGTTCTTAGGCCAAAGTGTTTTAGGAACATGCAATTTTGGACAGCGAATCAGCAAATGAGGCAGAGCAGGAAGCACTAGACAAGTCATTCAGTACCTTCATCTCATCCTCTCCCCTGTAATGTTAAGCAGACAGCTGAGCTCATGTATTTGTACCAAGCTTTTATGTGAGTGTGGAAGATAAAGTGGAAAGGGTCCAAACTAACCTCTGTTATAATGGCTTTTTGTTCCTTGACTCTCCTGGCTTCTTCTGAACATTGTTCAAGGCTGAAGACTTTGGAGAGAGGCAGTGCTTTTCCACTTCGGCACAGAACGGCTTGGCACGTCCCCACATTGGCCACAGTCAGAGAAAAGTTGCTGGCTGGATCAGCCACCTCGTTACGAATGTAGCAAAGGACAGCAGAGGAGCCCAGCTTCTGCCCAGCCATGCCCAGCTTCCTGTTGGAGGAGAAGGTGTAGGAGGCTCCAGACTCTACTGACAGGCATCCTGGAGGGCTGCCTCACCCCACCTAACATATTGATATACCTTATGCAAGTCCCACCAGGACCAGCCTGCTCACTGTCCTACCTGTGGGAGACCAAGAAGGTGTTGGACATGAACATGGTGTCAGACTGCTGTACCTCCTCCAGGAGCACATCGGCCATGGTGCACTGCAGCAAACGTGGCAGTTCTTCATTCTTGTCACCATCAAACATGCCATACACAGCCTCCATCCCCTCTGCAAAACTGCCCAGTGCCAGGGATGACACACACAGCCTGTCAGAAAAGCATACAAGCTAAGTTAGTATGTCTCAAAAAATTATCTTTTTCTCAAAACCACAGCCATCAGGCACCTTGCTGTGAGCGCTATTCTCACAGGGCAGCAAAGCCACTGTCCCTACATTCACTAGCCTGGGAGATGTACAGCTGCATATTATTATTGGAACTCCCAAACCCTCCTTGACCACATGCAGGAGAGGGCAACAGGCACAGCTGGCAAGAGAAAAAGCATCTTTGCTGGAGAGGGAAGAAGAGTCCAAGCTTACCAGGAAAAGCATGAAAATTGAGGCAAAACGTAATGTGGAGACACAAGTTATCAAGACGTAGTAAGAGATCCAGAGAGAAAAAGGGATGGATGAGCTCTTGGGCAAAAGAGGTCTGCTTGGGTGCTCAGCAGTGCACTCTGCCCAGCATCCTGAGAAGACAGTGTCAGTGCTCAGCAGACCATAATACTCACTTATTTCTTTGGCCTGCCATCTCAGCTACTCCGTGACTCCAGAAGGCAGAACTGAGTGCTGAGTCTGCCATGAGGGAGGGCTTAGCATCAATCTTCAGTGTGGTAATGTGACTATAGAGAGAACAGAAGTTATGCTTTTTTAGAACCTGCTGAATAGGCCTTAGGACCTTGTCCAGTCTAGTTTTAGACAGCAGTCTGTGGAAAGAACTGCATCAAGGAAAGGAGTTTAAGGTCTAGGTCTTCTGGAGGTGTCTGCTTGCTTATGCCAAACACACCTGGGAAAACCTCATACTACCTGAAAAATTCTTTGTTCTAATGTATCGAATCCAGACTTTTCCCTTCCCAAAGACAGTAAGTCTCAGCTGCCTCAGGCAGGGAATGCTACACCACCATGCAGTGATAAAGTGCTTTTACTTTACTATCCCATTTCCTCTCCTGGCAAGGGTTACCCTTTCCCATTGCAGGTCATTACTGGGTTGACATGTCAATGGCTCACCTGAAGATATCCAGTGTCTTGTGTTCTAAGACCAGGTTTGTGTTTCCACTCAGATCCAGCTCTTGCAAGGCACCTGGCAGTGCTTCAGGGATTAGGATTTCAGTTAACTCATTGCAGCTCAAATCCACAAACTGCAGTAGCAACAAACAGCATGACAAATTAAAATACTCTATGTCATCAGTTACTCCAGTGCTCCTTACAAACATCATACAACCCTGCTACTTATTGTATCTCACACACAGGTTATGAAAATGGATCTGACTTGTCAGAAGAAGAATGATTTATAAGCAACCTGCAATAGCCATGACTCCAATACTGAAAGACTAGGTCACCCCAAAGATAAAGGAAGGCCTCTATACGCAAACCTGCCGAGCTGTATAATAACACTGCCCACTGTCTCAAATGCAAGAAACCAGAAATGTCAAGAGACAGGGGGTAAAGGTGAATGAGATATTTGATCAACTCAGAAAGATGAGAGATCTAGAATGCACATTCTGTGACCTCTTCTCAGGTTGATCAAGAAAAGACATAGAACCACAGAATGGTCTGTGCTGGAGGGGACCATAGAGCTCATTTTTTTCAACACATCTGCCATGGCCAGGGACACCTTCCACTACAAGAGGTTGCTCCAACACCTGTCCAACCTGGCCTTGAAACTTCCAGGGATGGGGCAGCCACAGCTTCTCTGGGCAACCTGTGCCAGGGCCTCCCCACCCTCACAGGGAAGAATTTCTTCCTAATATCCAACCTACACCTACTCTCTTTCACTTTAAAGCCATTCCCCCTTATGCTGTCACTCCATGCCTTTGGACAAAGTCCCTCTCAAGCTCTCTTTTACTCACTTTAGGTAATGGAAGGTTTCAATAAGGTCACTCCAGACCCTTTTCTTCTCCAAGCTGAACAACCCCAAAGCACTCAGCCCATTGCCACAGCAGAGGTGCTCCAGCCTTCTAATCATCTTCACGGACCCCTCTGAACCCACTCCAACAGGTCTAAGTCCTTCTTGTGCTGAGGACTCAAGAGCTGGATGCAGCCCTCCAGGTGGGATCCCATCTGAACAGGCCAGGGGACAGAATTCCCTCCTTACCCACTGTCCATGCCACTGGGGATGAGCCCAGGCGTGTGTGTGGGGATTTCTGGGTGCCAGTACATATGGCCAGGGCATGTCCAGACTCTCATCCAGCAGCATCCCCAAGCCCTTCTCAGCAGGGCTGCTCTTGACCATTCATTCCCCAGTCTAGATTGATACCAGGAGCAGCCCTGACCCAGGTATAGCACCTTGCACTTGGCCTTGCTTGGACCTCCTGTTCTCTCCTAGCACTTACTTATTCTACAGCCCAAACTTTACCCAGATACATCTTTATCTTCTCCATACAAATACCTGAATATGGGGCAAATGCATGATTTCTGGAAAAATGGTGATTTCATTAGAGTGTGCAATAAGCGTATGAAGTAGCTTGCAGTTTGCAATCGTTGTAGGAATTGTTTTCAGTTTGTTTCCACTGAGATTCAGCTCTTCCAAGTGCTCCAGCTTACTAAGTTTGCTGAAAGGGAAACAAATATCTTACAGACATGAACTTGTCACATTCTGAAGTTACAGATGAGGTATCCATAGATGCTGCCCTTTATGAGCTACTTTTCTGATTTACTGATAGGAGACCCAAAACCCTAAGAGATGCTCTAGTAAGATGCAGAGTCCCCAAGCCTGGCTTGGATTTCTACAACAGACAGACCATTCACCATCAGCGCTGAAGCTGCAAAGAAATATCACACACTCCCTCACCCCCACATGCAACACAACAAGTTACATCCCCTGGTCCCCCTGGGTGGCACACCAACTATGACAGGAAAACCTACAGCAAACAGTAGTAGCATGTGCCAATCCCCCTTAACACGTTTCTCCTCCCTTTATGTGTAGAAATGCCAGGCTTTTGTCTTCAAGCCACAGGGAGAGCATCTCATTCTGACTTTGACTCACATCATGGGGAGGTGGCAGCTTCCTCCCAGGGAGCATTGTCTTGCCCAACAGCCTTACTGACTTACCTTGCAGGGAAAGTCTGCAGGCTGTTGTTTGCCAGATGCAGAATCCGTAGGTTTGGGTGTCCCACCAAGACAGGGATGCATTGATCTGTGAGGTTGTTATTAGTCAAGTATAGCAGCTGCAGCATGCTCAAACTCTCCTCCCCCAGACATGCGGAGGGCAAGGACTCCAGGCTGTTTGCAGATGCATTCAGGTACCTGAGGCTAACCACAGCAATTGCAAGAATAAGACTTCACATCATCCAAACCACTGCAGTAACAGGGGAAAGGAGCTGTACAAATGCTAGTGTATACAGCAGTATCAGACAGAAGGCAAGACAATACTGTAACATCCCTACTCACATTAAGATTTGTGAGCCTACTAATGACTTACTAGCTATATGCACTGTGGATGCATACAGCATTTTATAGTAAACAGTGAGCACTGAAAAGCCCATGGGTAATACTTGTGGAAGCAGACAACATAAAACTTTACTTAAAGAAGGGCTTCTTTAAAGAAGGGCTAACTCCGTGTGAAAAACTGTGTGAATAACTGTGTGAATGAACTGTGCTGTGTGAATAGACAGTTATGAGAGACTGTTCATTTGTAAAGGGTCTCTCTGTTCTCCAATGACCTGAATCTGACTGGCTTCTTTTTTTTGCACCTGAACTTATGACTACTTTTAAACACAAAGCTCTTCAGGTAGCTTCTGTTTTCCAGTAATTATACAGTAACATGGACTGATTCCTTCCAATCAGCTTGATGGCTTCTCTTATGGCACCTGAATAACCTCATAAAGGGCACACCTCGTTCTCTCTTATGCAAATAGCACCTTGCAAGGACAGTCACACAGGTACCACTTCCAGCCCATACACTCCAAAGGATAATGCAGACAAAAGATGTTTGCTATTGACACTCACTTCAGAGCTTTGACAAAGAGTGTCTCTGGGAGTTTAGTCAACAGATTGTGCTGAAGGTCCAGCACCTCCAGTGGAATGTGTTCTAGAAGAGGTGGAAGGCTCTGCAGATGATTGTGTCCCACCATCAACTTCCGAAGACTCAAGCTTCTGAGGATCCTAGAAAGACACAGGGTTTTCTATTTAACTTGGTTCATTCTTCTTGACGTCCACAGAGTGGGAAAGGTAGCATTTAATCCACTTAATTTGCTTGTACAGCAGGGAAAAATTAAAATACACAGATCCATAAAATGTAAACAATTACAAAGCAGAACAAGACACAGGGTAAGATGACTCAAGACACTCTGGATGCTTGGAAACGTATCTACATTTCCCTCTACGCTACTACTGTTTGGTATCTTGTGACTTGAGTTGGTGTGCATGTGCCCAGCATTCTCTCAGGCAGACAGAGGAAGTAGTCACAAAGGAAGACTTTAAATGCCTGTTGTCACTTGTAAGTAGACAGAAGTGCTTCCACAGTGTCAACATAAATTCAAAGCTTTAACTAGTAGCTTGGCACTCCTGTATTATTTCTGAGGCAGTAAATTATTCTTTGCATAATATACTTAAAGTTTGGTCTCTTTAATCCATTGGATTGGCTAAAATTCTCTCCTAAGTTCTCATTATCGCATCCTTGTTATGTCCTTTTCTTGCTTTTGATGTATACAGTTTTTCTGTGACAATCACTGGAATATCACTGCCAATCACCACCTATGTCTCTTGCTTCAACCTCTCCAACCCATGTTCTGCATTTCTTCCCTTTTAACCACTTCTCCATTCAGTTTTAGTACAACTTACCTCAGACACTGTCATTTATCAAATCACACCCCCACCTAACACCTTTATTAGGCTGAGAATGTTTATGCTTTGCTTCTTCCTAGGATAAATAACTGCAAAATTGTATTAGTTCTTGGCTCTCATTCACTGCATTTCTGCAGAAACTGAAAGGGAAATAAGGAGAAAGGAACTGGCTGATGGTATACTGTGAAAGCTACATTTGATATCAACTGAATTGTCCCTTTGTGATAACTCCCTGTCAAAGGTAACATGGAATTTCTGTGACATGATGCAAAATGTATTAGGGTCTCACCTATGACATGTGTTCACAGACAGTATGATAATACATATAAATCACAGCAGCATGTTCTGTGTCAGGTGCAAAGAGCTACAGTAGCAGCCGAAAGCACACAATGGAATTACCTAGCCCCTACTGTTCAAAAGGCTGACCTAGAAACTGGTTCTTTCCAACATTTGAATATAGAGCATTTTTGATGCAACACAGATAAAGTAAGTGAGAGTATATATCTCGACACAAGGAATTAAGCAACAGGAATAGCACTGCTTTTCTCTTCCCAGACAGCCCATTGTAGAAGAAAGCTCAGTTCTGTTTACAAAGGTTTTCTGACCTCGATGGAAGCTCCAAGAGTAAGTTGTAGCTCACATCCAAAACTTCCAGTTTCTTTGCTTCACAGGCCCAGTCTGGGACACACTGTAGTTGATTGCTGAGAAAAGCAATTGGGAAAAGCAAGAAACCAGCACTCCATATGAAAAAGACTCTGAATGCTGCCAAACCAAAAGCAACAGTCAAAAAATGAACAGCATCTGAGTTAGTAATGGATAATGCAAACTAAACTGGTTCATGACTTGGCAGGGCATCCTATCTTACAGGTATCACAGTGCTGCTCCAAGGGCAGATGTAGGCAATGAAACCAACAGCAGAGATCACTGGGAGCTACTCTAAATATTTGATCCACAGATCTTCCCCTGTTCAGCTCAGTAAGCTGCCCCAAGTTCAGTGGTCCCTGCTTGGTTTTTTTTTTTTTCCTGATCATAGCCTACAGCTGAAGGACAGCGAAGTCACCTGAAAAGGTCATACTGGTTCAGAAAGGCTTCTGGTCTGGGACACTTTCATCATTGTTTAGTGCTGGGCTTTGAAGTTCTATTGTGTTTAATTGCTCTCAAGATGTCCAGATACTTGCTTTAAATTCTGTTGTGTATTATCACTTACTGAGAGAGTTCTAGACATGTCAGTAGACCAGGAACCGGATAAATATTGACAGCTGTCAGACCTGAGGAAGTAAAGCAAGTAAGTATGATTGCAGAGCTTCAGAGAGAAAACAGCACAGAGATGCAGCTTAGTTATCAAATGAGACTCACAGTATTTCTTTATGGAGACTCAAAGTCCCCACTGATACTTCCAACCGTAGAGTTCACACTTCATACATCTGCCATATGGCACTTTAGTGTCTCACTATCCATTTCTCCATCTGTCATGTGGAGCATCAGAACAAGAGAGAACTGTATTTTTCTTTGTGGGCTCCCAAACAGATCTCAATGGAACACAAATTCCTTGGACATAACACCACAACCTGCACACTGTTACACAGCCTGTGTACACCCATGCATATGTGATCCGTAGGAGCTAACCTCAGAGGACCCATCGCATATGGTTTCACCACAATAACATCAACATAAGTATTTTTTTAATGTGTGAGAGAGGGCAAAAGACTGTTTTCCTTTGTTCCCAGGGCTTAAAGGGAAAAGCCAGGTAAAGAAGACAAAGAGACATACAGTTGCTGTTGGCATACAGGGACCGAAGGGAGAAGCCACTCAGGGTCAGCTCTCTCAGCTGATTTCGCTCGCAGTGTAGCTGCTCCAGGCTGACCAAGGAACTCAGATCCAGATCTGTCATCAGATTGTCTCGTAAATCCATGTAAGCCACAGATTTGTTCCCCTCCAGAGTGTCAGCCACTGCTCTCTTCAGGTTGTTGAGCCTAAACACTCAGAGATGAGTTAAAAAGTCAGAAAATAGGACACTGAACACTGGACATCAGTAAGAAGAGAGAAGAAAGAACAGGAAAGGAAGAATTCTGGTGAAGGCCAATACCAATGGTGAGCACAGTCAATGAAATGCATGACAAGCAATGGTGAATTTCAGGCAGTGAATACAAACAAAAACACTTCCTTTGTCTACACTGCTACACATAACCATTTTAATGATTCCCAAATTCTTAAGAGATTCTGAAGAAACATCTAGTCTAGAAAACAGAAACCAGGTCAAGGGGCAGCTACTCTGCACGGACACAGGAAGCTAATGTGGAGAACAGATACTAGACTGCCTTGCCAGACTCAAAAAGCTCTTTGTCCCTTTCTGAGAGGTCTGCAGTTGGCAGCCTGGAGAATCAGGATCACATCTCTAGGGCAGAGAGGCAAAAAAGGGAAGGAAAGATCAAGGTTTTGGTATCTTGAGCTACCAAAACTCAAGGCAACAGCAAATCACAAGAGGAATCTAGAGGGCAAGGTTCATTCAGCATCTGGCACTGCTCAATTGAGCTTGCTTTTCCAAGTGGATTCTGCACACCCTCAGAAACAGAACTCCGTAAAAGCTAAAGAATCAATGAGAGAAAAAAACGGAACCTAATTTATTGCAAAACATACCAGAAGTTGCACAGATCCTCTGCTATAAATGGAAAGTTGCAATCTGTTTTATAGACACCTGCCAGTTTCACCCCTTACCTCAGGTCCACACTTTTGATGTGACCCATACGGTTCAGCACTGTCAGGTCCAGGATCTCTAGCAAGTTCCCTGCCAGGGCTAGTTTGTCTAAGGTGACAAGTTTCTCACAAATTGCTGGCAGTACACCGAAGTTATTGAAGGAAAGCCCAAGACAGCTGAGCTGCTGCAGGTTTCCCATCTCTTCTGGTAAGGATGTAAGGAAATTGCCATCAAGCCAGAAAGTCTGGAGACTGCAACAGTGAAAAAAAGAAAGGAAATAATTCTTCAAAGAGTAGTGACTATCACATTTCATATTTTCAGTGAATTTTCTGGTATAGTTAGCTTGTCTCAATGTGGTTATTTTTAAAGGTACCTAACAGCTAATTTTATTCTTATACACATAAAGTTACTGAAGTACTTTTATCACACATGTAATAGGGTTGGAACTTCCAGTTCTGCCAAAGATTGTAAGTTAACACAAGCAAAATACAAATCAGTACTTACATTGTAAATGAAAGATATTTACTTAATTAATTGATTTTCTACAAACGGCACAGTTTAATCACTAAAAGATCATTCTGGGTGGCTAAAAGATCATTCTGGAAATTACTTGCTCACATACAGTGTGGATGCAGACACTCCTTTTCTAAAGATACAAGCTGGAGGAAAAGCAGGCCACAATAAACCGACAGTTCAATATTGATGTTTATCTAAATGTACTACCAGTCTTGCAATTAAATTTAACTAAGCTTAAGCTCTTATGCATTTGGGGTAGCTACTGGGAAAAATGGACAAGGCTCCAGCAAACTTAAGACAAAATTTTCAGAGGGGATTGCTCAAGTATTTTCATGTTAAAATCCTCTAACACAAAACCAGCCAATTCTGTAGAACATCATCAAACATACCAGTGCTGACAAAAATCACTAGACCCCTGTGAGAAGTTACCACAGAAGAGTTTTCTACAATAAATTAAAACTTCAATAGAAATTGCATCAATACTGAAAATATTAAATTCAGAAATAAATGCAGAAAGTCAGACAACTCTGAAGCTGCAGAAAAATGCACATAGACTTATTTGAGAATCTATGCAATTGCCTTCAGTGCTTTATCTGCATCAAGTTTCCTCATCTTTTCTGCACTAGGAGTTGTGATATTTTCCTAGTAGTGATTAAGGGATTGAATATCTTGGTTCTTGACCTCCTGCTGGAGTCAAATTAATCATTCAGCCTTCATGGGCAAAACAGGCTGCCCTAGAATTCACACTTTCAGAAACAGTACCTGCACATCATCAGTGCTCAGCTGAACCACCAAGGATATTTATGATCACAGATGTAAAGAACATACTCACTTCAACAGTTTGCCAATCTGACTTGGCAAGTAATGAAGTCCATTACAGGAAATATTAAGCTCTGTCAGAGTAGAGATCTCACACAGTGGTACAGGAAACTCTCCCAGTCTATTATGAGACAAGTTCAGACTCTTCAATTGAGAAAACCTATTAGCAAGAACACTAGTTAATTCACAAACCTACATGTCTAAAAACACACAAACCAGTCAAAGAATTCTTAGGTCTGTACATTGGTGATACAGTCAGTTAACTCATTACAGGAGTTTCTGCATAAATTTAGGTTTAAGTAATTGATATTTTTCTCAGCTGTCATGCTGAAAGTGATCAAATAGCATGGGTTTACTGCAGTAACTGACAACAACCTTCTACACCGAATTTCCAAGCTTTGTCCTAGTGACTGCTACTAAGATTAAGGTGACTAAAATGCTCCGTTCAAAAAAATTTACCGTAAAAGAATTAATTAAAGTAAGAGTCTACAATTACAAAGCTTGGGGAAAGAGGAACTGAAAACATTCACTAGGACTATTCTGAGAATAAAACAGAAAGCCAAGCCAAGCTGTAAAAGGGAAGACTAGGAAAGCATATGCTTCATGCTGGGAAAACCCAAGACCTGCACCCAGAGGTCCTTGAACAAGATTGCACAACTACAGTGCTCCTTGCTCAGCAGATTGTATCCCACCTACTGCCCCAAGTACACACAGCCCACAGTCACTACAGTCCCACTGGTGCTTGAGAAATGGTTACCTATTTCTAGCTCCTTCAATCACCTTGCTAGGTCCAAAGAGAGAGAAGGAATTTAGCATGGCTGGGGTAACATACAGCAGGGTTCTCCTCCAAGAGTTCCTGCCTCCTTCTACAGAAAGCAAAAGTATTGCTCCCCAAGTAAAAGCCTCTTCATCCCAAAATGGAACCACCAAAAATTAATTCAGTGGGGAAATTAATATCTCACTTCTACGAGATAACTACAAATTTCATGTACCAGAGAACTACTTCTTGGACACATGCAGCTATTCATCTGCCTCCCCTACCCTACTTTTCCCAGGCATGGGTGTGTAGCTCTTATTTTGAAGCAAATGTTCTAATATCAGTAACAAAACCAAGGTTAATTAGCTTGAGGGAGAATATTACTTCTAGCTTGAGATGTCTTGAAATATAGGACTGAAAGGTTTTGAAGTTGTTTTCTTCTTTATAGTGACTTTTTTTGGATTCATAATACTTGTAATGATCTGCGTAGGAACTATGCATAATATTTCTCCATTTTGCTTTATAACATTGGGGGGTGTTCTTTTGAAAGAGGGAGCATAGCTGAAACTTGGACATGAGTTGTTTGCTTTGAGCACCCAATCATATGAATAAGGGCACAGGCATTTTTGTTTGCTACAGCCACAGACTCTCATACTGCAACTGAAAGCCAAAGAGAAAAAATGCTATGTTGGTAAAAGCCTTCCTCAAAGGAAGGATAATGCAAAGACATAACAATGATAGAAAAAATAGAAATTTGCACACAGAACTCCACCACAGTATTGGAAAAGAAGGAAACAATGAAGATGAACCTAAGATTTGAACAATCTCATTAGCTGATTCAACTAAGAGATTTAGGACATGTTGTGGATCTCAGGGATTGAAATCAGCAAATGCTTTAATAAAACTCCTTTCTCAGGAGTTATGCAATGGCTTTTGCTATACATGTTCTTAGTGCCAAGCAGTGTTTCTCTCTCCCTAACAGTTTAGTGAGAAGCTGCTCTGAGGGATACACAACAGCACAACTCATGTTTAGAATTCATCCCTCTGCAAAAATATCAAAGCAAGCACAAGAGAGGCATTACAGTTTCCAAAAGCTGAAGGGAAACTGGAATATGACACAGATTGGTCTGAGATTCCTCAAGCATGCTTCCATACTCAGTGGGGAGGACAATACTCAAAAGCCTTTTGAGTTCTTCTGTTCCCTCTTCTTTGCCTCAGTAAGCTCATGTAGTGATGTAGGAGTGGAGTGGAATGGAAATGCAACTCTCATTCAAGCTGTATTTATGAACCAGGTATTACAGGGGATAAAGATTCCAAAATTGTTGTGGCTCCTCAGGTTATGGTTTGGGCTCTCATAGGGCATACTGAGATGGCAAAGAGGTATGGAAACACAGCAGTGAATCTTCCATGGGATGACCATCTTCTGTTTAGCAGCCCAAACTGGTGCTGCCCTGAAATGTTCCAAGCTTAACACATCCTGTTCTGCCACCAAAGCACACCAGCACAAATCTGAACTAGCTAGAATGCTGACAAGAGTCATGTAGATGTATACACGTGTGTGCACACACACATATCAATTAAGACCAGATCTCGGTGTTTTTCAGATAAGGGAGATGCTTGAAAGGTACTACAGTACATAGAAAATAAGCTAGGAGATGTAACAAAGCAGGTAGGACCATTTAATGCCCTTTGCTTAACATATTCCCTTTAGCCAATAATTTTTGCTCAATTGTTATAATTATAGGTAATTAGACTCCTAAAGCTTGAAAGTTGCTCAGAGGAAGAGATCTTATCATTGTGAAAAATTCTGCTGTTGGGAATTGACAGTCTCAATGCACAGAGAGCACTTACTGCAAGTGAGCAAGGGTCTTCTTGTGGTGCTGTAATTTTAGAAGCATCCTAAAAACCTCAGACAGAAAATCTTTTCAAAAGGCAATGAGCAGCCTTATATGGGCAACCTATGCTATCTGTTTATTCAAGATTGTGTGAAGTGAGAGCTTCTTTTATGGCTTTTGTTTGTTTGTGGATTTCAGCTTCATCAAACATAGTCACGGCCAGGAAAAGAGTTGAGTTTCTGACATGTCAGATTTCTTGTTGACTACATGCAAGGTCAAAAGAAATTTCAAGACCCTTTGCTGATCCAGTGAACCAAGGATACTCCATTTTAGAAAATAAAGTTCTGATGTGCTTTTCAAAAATCATACTATGTATTTGAAGAGACAAGTAGAGAGCAAAATCTTAAGATTATTTTAAGCAGCTTCTTCAGTGACAGAATCTATTACAATTCAGCATTAGAAAGCTTTTAAGCAAGTTTGGAAAACCAGACTAGACTCTGGTTCACAAGGAAACTGCAAAGAATTCCCAAAAGTGAGCAATTTTTTTCATTGTATATTCTCATAGATACCTGGGCATCTCTAACCCTAGAGAAAGAAAAATATATTAGCACAGTAGTAGGCCCCTAGAGACAAAGAAAACAAAAATACACCTTTCCCCACTCCACCCTGCAAAAAAAACCCCCAACAAACCAAAATGACAAAAACAACCAAACCTCAAAACCACAACAACAACAAACCAAATAAAACAAAAAACCAAAAAGCAGTTTTGCAAAGTTTCTCCAAATACATTTTCCTTAGGGAAATGCGTTCCAAACAGAGCCATTGGACAATATTACTATAAGCTTCCTAACGGTTTTCAAATTTCATAGAGCAACTCCTTGAATTCTATTTAGCATGGCTGGTATACATATCAACAGACTAATCTCCCTCTAGATTTTTATGATTTGGGAAATTAATTTAAAAATATTTTTGTAAGACTCCTTCACTTACCTAAGATGACTACATCATGCTTCCATACCATCACACAACTGCTACTCTCTTAAAAGCAGATCATCACAAGTTTCCAAAGCAAAGCTGGAGTCTCACAGGCCCTCTGCCAATTCCAAATACACATTAAGAACTTGCCGCAACAGGGTTTTTCAGACCTAAACTTCTTCCTACAAACACTTATTTCACAACAGCAGCATTATGCTTTTCCTTGCCTTTTGTTTTATACCCCAAGATGTTCTCTTCTTAGCAAGCAGCCTAATATTACTATTGCATCTTGTCCATATAAATGGCATGTCACCCCACAAGCCTTATCTCAAATCAGAGTTAGCACAGAATCTGTGGAAGGGAGCTCACGAATATACTACTAATAGTTGGAAGTTTATTCCTGCTTGTGCTGCCCCCCTAACTTGTTAGAGCTTCCTAAAGATCTATTTTTTTACCATCCCCAAAAGAACAGGCAGTACTTCATTCCTGTATCCACATGTCATGGACTCCAAATGTAGAAGAAAAATTATTCTTTGCAGACCTGCAAAGAGAGTCAAGACTCCCTGCTCCACTTGTTCTCATAAAATTGTGGCGTAAGTTGAGGTAGGTGATGTCTTGACTGTAGAAGAGGTGCTCTGGTACTTCCTCAAGGCTGTAGCATGAAAGATCAACCATGCTAAATCGCATAGACACAATCTGAAAAGAAAAAGAAAAGGCTGCAGCTGTGCAACAAATTTTCTCTGGAAGTCCAATGGAAGGCCAAAGAATATAAGTAATAAACAATTTGCAAGAACATGAAAGAACCACTTGTACCTGGAGGTAGAGTCCATGCAGGAAATGGGAGTCCATGAAGTACAAGCCTATGCCCTTTGCTACATCCCTGACAAGGACACATAGCTGGATACCAGTCAGGATTCACACAAAGCCTTGCTCTGTATGTGCACCGGGCACACTGCCTAAAGGCTAGGCTGTAAGAGACCCAGTGTAATAGAGGAAAACAGATCTTTCAGGAAACTCTATTGAGAAAGAATAATCTCAAGTGCTTTACAAAGGTGCAAGAAGCAACAGAAAGCAGTTGATTTTCCAGTTCAGTTCTTTGAGGTTTACATAACCTCTGCCTAGCACAGCTGCTTCTTCTGTACTTTTAGCTACTTCTTTCTTTTATTAGCTTGTTGATAATATAAAATTTGAAACATAACTTGTTATAAAAAGGCTTCATAAATTATGGCTTTACAACATTTCATAAAGTCTCTGCAAATCTCATGTCCTTTCATAAAGCATGTTTTGTTTTGAGGTCTTTGGTGCTTAATTTGACATTTTATGACCTGCTTTATCCTGAACTCATTTTGTATTTCATAATATCCTGGCTGACCTAAAATGTCTCTGTAACTCAAACCTCAGGGCAGCCCTGTGAAAGTCCAGGTCTTACTTCAGGCACATTCAAGTATGGCAACAAATGCAATGTGTAGGTTTCTATCGCTGTAAAGTCAGTCAGTCCCTCTGGTTTGCTCTATGGACCTGTGATTAAGTTAGTCTTGTAGGTGCAGCAGTGGTTAAAACAGCACAGAACTACTGTTCAACATTGTTGCATAGGTAGAGAAAAAGAGAAGACTAAGAGAAAAATCACTGTAGCCCAGAGCATGAAGGAAATAAAGCTGGAAAATGTCCTGGGTACTTTCTCCAGCATCCTAGCTTTATCTCTGACTGCAGATCAAGCTTGCATCAGATTATCCTTCCTGTGGTGTACCCTGCACCAGCATCCCAATCGCACTGTCCCCATGGCCTCACCGTGGATGCTTGCCGGTGCCACCGCTGGCACTCTGCCAGGGTTTCAAAGGAAATGTGGTATGTCTGAGCTTGTGCTCCAGCAGATGTGAAAGCAAGGGTGTACTGCCGACGTTTCATCTCTTCCACCTGCAGAGGGAGAATTGACAACAGTCTGCCTAAGCGCCAGCAATTACAACTGACCTGAAGTCTAGGGTGAATTATTACTGACCACCAGCAACACTGCATTTTGCTGAAAATATAGCTGCAGACACTGGAGAAAAACACAGAAGTAAATATTGCTTAGCATTTTTCCGCTGAAATGTAATTTCCAGAGTGCCTGTTCACATTGGCTACTGTTTCACAGCTGTGAAAGCTGAACAATTGTTTCTTCCTTTTATTAGCCTTCAGACTACTACCTAAGCAAAGCAAGTAGAGAACGGTTGGGCACATTAATGCAGTAATATGTTAAAAAAGCCTACATTAATCTCTTGTGGGCAATTCCCATGACTACCATTTCTTCCTCCTTCCCAGGCTACAGGGAACTAACCAAAAAAAAGAAATCTTACCTTCCCTCCAATGAGAGGCAAGATGTGCATCTTCCCTGCATGGCTGTCCTTCACTGAGGACACAATGAGGCACGTACCACAGAGAGTGACTGAGCGCTCTGCCCACTTGTGCAGCTGGGTCTTTCCTTTGCGTACGTTATAGACTCCAGAGAGCAGGATGCGATCCAACTGTTCCAATTGGCATGGCTTTTCTGAAGAAAAAGGTGACAAATTTATTGTCCATATGTTCTTCATTCTCATCTGTGAGTACAAATAACTCGGATCTAACATGCAAAACCAGTTGTTGTAAAGAACAAGCAAACAAATTGCATTTTAAAAGAAAGTCTCGTGCAGAGGACAAGCAACATTCTCAGTCAGCCCAGGACCAGTGGCTGAGCAGCACCACTTGTGCCTCCCAGAACAATGTTAGAATGGTTGCCATGCAGTGTGTTTTTAATCCAGGTAGTTACAGACCTTAGCAAATCCACATGTTTGCCAAATATCCTTCATTAAAATGCAACAAAAAAGCAATTTTAAATTCTCGTTGAGTCAGGTAAAGTCACAGAAATCATTAAATAAGTGGTTTCTACTAGACTTTAAAGGCAGGCCTGGAAAATCAACTACAAAGTTCTTTCCCTGAAGATGACTGTCCCGGTTTTGCCTGAGATAGACTTAATTTTCTTCCTGGCAGATGGTACAAGGCTGCGTTTTGGCTTCAGTGTGAGAATAATGTTGGTAGCATAAAAAAAACACAAAACATTAAAAAAAACCTGCTGTTTCAGCAGCAGGTGGGTTTCAGTGGGTTCAGCAGGGCTCACCCAAGTCAAGGACTTTACAGTGTCTCTTTCTCTGCAGCAAGCAGGCACAAGAAACTGCAAAGAAGCATGGTTGGACCAGGTGATCCAAATTAGCAAAGGGGATATTTCACACCATAGAACATCATGCAATACACAAACTGAAGGAATTGGGAAAGGAGGGCTGAGCACTGCTAGAGAAAGGGCACCAGTGTGATGAGCAGTGTATTGTGCATAATTTGTGTTTTATTCCTGTCTCTTTGTTATTGCCCTTTTCATTAGAATTACTATTATCTTACTTTATTTCAATTATGAAACTGTTTTCAGTCCAAAGGTATCACTTTTTTCCTATTTTCCTTCCCATCCCATGAGGGAAGCTGCTTATTGGGTGGCTGAGGTTAAACCACAATGGTCCTTTTATGTGCCAGACTTGGTGCACTAAGGGCAGAGACAGATCTGACCAGAGTGTGTTAAAACAGATTTGCTATAAGCATTTATTGTATTGGTTTAACAGTGGCTGGTCACAATATTGATTGTCTTGCTTAATTTTGTTGCACTTGTTCTCAAGACTGCATTATGTAACACCTTAATCTGCTGTAAAGGCTGGGTTAAGGTTATGGTGTTGTATTTTGTAATCTGGTCTGTGTGCTCAGCAAGGCACTTACCTTTGTGCTCTGGTGCCATTTAGTGGAAAATATCAATAATGACACCGTTTGCCTTTTCTCCTCAGAGACTCCACTTAGGGAGTGGACACTTCCCACATCCTCCTTTTCTCCTCCAGGTTAATTACAAAAGCATTTGGGAATTTCTAATATCCTTGGGATACTGAGATCAGTGTGGTTCCCTATTGCTAGCCACCATGAATGTGGTTCAGGTCTTGTTTAGGGAGAAGCAACTATTTATGGCTACTCCAACCCAGTGACAAGCCACTGCAACTTCTCAGACTCGACTGGAGTCAGACTGTTGCCAGTTGCTGCCCTACTGGACACACTCAAGGCCAACCATTCAGCTTCTGGAGTCACGGTGGCAGAGGATTTGGAGCCCACAATACTCTAACTGAAAGAGATACTGGTAGCATATGAAGGGATTTCAGAGCTGATGGGCACTAAGGTCCAGCTGCTCCTGGCACCCTCCTTGGGTGCTGGGCTGGATGTTCAAACTGATGCTACGTGGAGTAAGCAGGTCACACTGATCACGCAGTAAGCTTGAATAAGAAAACAATACTCTAAACATTTATCAGGAGCAAATAGTTAACTACTAACTCAAGTTGTAATATTATTTCTCAGTTAGACAGCAGGATCTTCAGCTTGCCAAATCTAAAGTGCTGTCTTGATGTACATAGCTGGCTGAATTTAGCTGAAACATGTAGTTATTTATTTACAACAATAGTTTTGTTTCACACACAGGAAGTTTGACATAAGATGTCCTTACTGGTGAGAAACTGTAAGAATCCACAGAAAAAGATTGCTTTGATTTCACCAAGCTGAAAGACCAGCCCCACACTTGTAAGAAAACATTACTGTGGGCCTTAAAGTGGTATCCTACCATGAACTGCCACAGCAGCACTGTTCCAAGCATTACTCTGCAGCTGTACCAATCCTCCAGTTTCCCCTCTCTGCTCCAAAACCATAACACCGATCCTAGAGTGGGTCACAGGGCAGCTGTGGACACAGCCAGGTGTCTGGAACACCTCTCCTATGGAGGCAGGCTGAGAGAGTTGGGATTGTTCAGCCTGGAGAAGAGAAGGCTCTCGGAAGGCCTTCTTGCAGCTTTTCTATATAAAAAAGCAGGATACAAGAAAGGCATAGAGAGACATTTTATGAAGGCCTACAGTGGCAGAACAATGGGCCATGTTTCTAAACTGAAAGGGGGCAAATTTACACTGGACATAAGGAAGAAATGTTTTATGGGGTGGGTGGGGAGACCCTAGCACAGGTTGCCCAGAGAAGTTGTGGCTGCTCCATCTCTGGAACTGTCCAAGGTCAGGCTGGGTGGGGCTTGGAGAAACCTGGTCTAGTGGAAAATGTCCCTGCCCATGACAGGAGGGTGGAACTAGGTGATCTTTAAGGTTCCTTCCAATCCAAACCAATCTGTGATGCCATGATACGAAGATTTTCTGTGTAGAGCACCTTACTTTCTCCCTTATGTTGTCGGCTGCAGACTTTGCAAAATTATTTCATCATCCTCCATAGCATTCCTTCTAATTCCTCCCCATCTTTGAGAATCACTTTGTCAGCATTTCCTTGTACTTCCTTAAAACAGGTCTCCTGAACACACTTTAACCCTTATACTTCTTCCTTCATTGCTTTCTTCTAAGAATACCAGCCACCCTTGCTGACTGAAACTACTCAATTACATTTTCTATCTATTTGGTCCAATGAAGCTGAGTCGCTGTTCGTGAATCCTCAGCAGTTCCTGCTTGACATACCCAAGCCTTCATTTTTTCCTCAAAAGTTCTCCATACCCCTATCCTTGATGCCTCTACTCCTTCTAGCTAAAGTAACTTCTGACTCCCTCTTCCTTGCTCCATAAATCCAGACTATGCATGTCACACTTCTTCCCATCTGTTACACTCCATGTTTTGCACACACACACACACACACACACACATATATATATATATATATCGGCTTATATTTATATGTGGTGTATACATTGTATCTACAGTATCTACACTGTTTTGCCTGTTCTTACACATAGTTCCCAGACAGAAGGGGTTTGTCTCAGACAGCAGGGTGAAGAAGCTGATTCCTTATAAATGCATTTTTTTTGACACTGAATAACGAAAAGATGGCTAGCAGCTTAGCCTGGCTGCCCAGATCCACAATGCAAGAACAATTTTCCATTAAAAGCACCTTGATTTTTTTTCTTCTGAAATGCAAAAAATACACAGGTGAAGTACTTACAAGTAAGGAAATAATTTCCTTATTATCTTTCCTCACCCTCATTTCTTTTATATTTCCTGTTAACTTCAGTGAATTCCCTTTCTGACCGCTAGTACCACCTGCCCACAAGCCTATGCCTGTTATCTGTGGCTCCTCATGTATATTGTATCCTGCCCAAATCAATTCAACAGGCCACACTCCAAAGTCTTGCTTCTGCAATCCAGTGACCTAGGGCTCTGACAGCAGCCTGTATTATTATTAACCAGCTGGCACCTTCACTGTTCACTGTTTAAAGGTTGTGGAAGTATTTGACCAGGTGCTTCCTTGGCCGTATCCATAAATTTTTGTAAATACAGTCTTCATGCACATCTAAATGGAACTCCCAGTGGGAGCTCTATGTCATCAGCTGCAATATTTGAATCTAAAGACAACAGAGCAATTTTGTATCTTCCTGTGGACCTGTCTTTTCTCAAGTCATGGACAGGATCAAGAAAACTACAGAAGTGTGATTTTTTTCTATTAATCTTCAAAATGTCTTATTTTAAGAAATGCTTACTGGTACTACAGGTGCTTGATGTAGCCCTCTACAAACCCAACAGGCTGATGACTCAGGCTTTAGCTGAGTTCCAGCTCACAGTTACAGCTGCAGAAACAGTGACAGTATGCACACACACAATTTCTTACCACTGTAAAAGCGAATCATACAGCTGAGATCACAGTTTGCTGCCTCTTCCTGCACTCTGAGAGGATCATCAAAACCCAACCCAGCCAAGTAGTCATACACAATCTGAAGGGGTTTTTCTGTGGGCTCCAGCCTCCTGTCAAAACATACAAGAAAGAAGTTTGAGAATGCAAAACAGATTAAACAAGTCTCAGTACATCTAAAGCCTGAGGAATACTGACACACCGTCTGTTCTGCTCCTCTGAAAAGGTCTGGCAAGCACAGACTCTTGGGTGTCTGCTCCCTGCTTGATAAGCTGCACTTAAGAGCTGCAGCACTTGTGAATTATGTTGCAGAAGAGAAACACAGAGAAACAGCAACTGGCATAAGCCACACAATTCATGGTGAGTACTTCTATTTCATGATTTAAGGAACACCAGGAGGAATCCATGACAAGACACAAAACCCAGAAATATCAAAAAAGCAGATGCCAAGTAATTAAAAACCCCTATGTATAATGCCTCAAAAATAAAAAAGAACTATTAAATGTTTCTTCTGAATGCAGCTTAGAGCAAAGCATTTGAAGAATCCTCATGAAGAATTATTAAAAATACCCCAAAACAAACATAAGACAAATTTCCTACTCTCTTCAGCTCACATCAGTGGCTAGATTCTTATGCTTTGGCAAGTTAACTCAACTAGCATATATAAAAGGATGTTTTGGAACTGTGGCAGAACACAGGAAGCACTCAGTGGCTAGCTTGAATTAACAGCAATAAGAGAAAGTTCTTGTGAAGCATCAGATTTAGTATATTCAGAATGGAAAACATGTTTTCTGATCCTCTCTTCTCACTTTTTCCAGGGACCCTGTATTGTGATTTTCTTCAATAAAACCAACAAATTTCTTGCTAAATTACAAGTTTTATTTTAGGAAAAAAAAAAAAGGTTTAAAAGATTAAGCACTGAAAATGTTACGTAGGAGTAAAAATATATTGTTCCAATGGTCTACTGATTATCCAACATAAAAAAATTCCCTTTTTTAATCTAAAAGTGCCTAGCTTCAGATTACAGTCAGTGGATCTCAGTGGTCATGTCTTCTTTAAACAGGAGTTTATAAACCATGTTACTAAACATTTCAAACTTCCTCTTCAATATAAGGTGCAAGATCCTTTTAAAACTATTCTTGTAGAAGAGTGGGTCTACTTTGATTCAAAAGCATTTTTACCACCAATTTTTTTCTAGTTTATCCCTACTCTGTAAGCACTAAAATGATTGTTCCCTCTATCCATGCACTGACTTTACAAAACCACACATACACATCAGTTCAACTCAAACACTTTTCTGTTCTTGCATTAAACCTGCTCTAGACTCATATCCCTCCAATGCACGAGTCCTCCTGAACTGCATCTTTGGACAACTTATAGCCTCCTTCCTCTCCTTTGCAGTATTTAGTTCACTTGTCTTTTACATAAATCTACCTAGCGATACTGAAAAGCAGTGTTTTTCAGGGAATACTGCATGCTAAACTATCTAGAGCAATCTGCTGTACTGACTTCTCAGTACCCATCACTCCCTCCATCCATGCCCTCCTGAGCTCTTACTTTTTAGCCACAGGTTATTAACAACGCAAACTGAACAAGGGAAGTTTACATTTCTTCCTTCAAACAGCTCCTCACCCAAAACAAGATGCTTACGCCAAATAACAGTTTCCAGTTCGTAAGATATTAGCCAATGAGTTTTACTGGTTTGTGCATTGCTTTCTCCCCATGACATCAGAACACAGAACCTCAGGCATTTGGGGTAGGAAGGGCCTTTAAAGGTCATCTACTCCAACCATCCCACCATGGACAGGGACATCTTCGACTTGAACAGGCTCAGAGCCCAGTCCAACATCTCACTGCAATGAATGACTAATACCTTTGGTAAGCAAGCCTGAAATTTTGAAGCGTCAAGATCAAATTTGCTAAGTAGAACCTGTTTTCCACTAAACTTTGTTGACTTGCATACATTATTTATAGTGTGTGTCTTAATTTTTTTAAACATTTAAAAAGTTAATTTAAAAACATTTCATTGCTGTATGTACCAAACCTTTCCTCTTCTTCTCATCTCTTCTTCAGAATAAGAACATTTCAGATTGTTTTAAATTATTATATCAGAGTATTTGCACTATTACTGACATTTACAAATGCCATCAAATAATTAAGGCAGGACTGATTTCATAAAACATGCACCATTTACAAGTGCCTAGTCATCCAGGTCTCCTTTGGAGTCACCAAGACACATCTCAAGAAGTGACAAACCTGTGTATCTGTCTCCTGTAACAGGCAAGCTATTAGAAACTGGAATGAATGAATAAATAATAGATTTCACTGAACAATGCTGATGTCCAATACAGTACACCTGACATAATGTATACCCTTCAGCATAGGATCCAAGAATATGAGACATTTGACTGGATCTCCAACTATGTTGCCCAAGTTTCCCTTGACTACCCCAGACTCCTATTCTTCTGCTACTAAAGCCTTATGCTTGCCAGGAAACAACCTTTCCAGCATGTGACCCATAGCTCAGGAATGTTAAATGCTTGAGTGCCACTCACAAAAATAGCATATCAAGTAGTCTGCACCTAGACTTCCCAAGGAAAAAAACAAACAAACACTCAAACTTTACTATTTGCTTGCTGAATGGAGGGGTTTTTTTGTGTACACACTGAACTACCTACCTGCACATCAGAATTCAGGAAGAAAATTAATGAAGTACAAGGATAATTTGTGTCATATGAAAACAAGTAAGTCACAGTTGTACAGGCTGCTCAATGCTCTCTGGGATACAGTGCTGTGACTTACCCTCCTGAAAAAGCTGAATACTCAAATTGTACCATACTTACCATTCTGGAGATGAGATCAGCTTTTTTTTTCTTTTCATCTTATACTTCATCAAGAATTAATACTGTAGGGTTTCAAAATGCTGATTTGAAAAATCCTTAATCTTCTTTCTTGTCCACATAAATCAAACTGATTTGCTCTTTGAAGACATCAAACACAATACCTTTGGTTTTGTTTCATTTCTATGAAAGCCATGTACAAAGGAACACTGATGGCAATATCTATTCAAGCCCAATCCTCTACAAATGTACCTCTAGTGCCATAGAACCATTCCTATCTGAAAACCAATCATATGACTAGCCTATTCTATTGCATCAGCTAGGTTTGCTGGTCAATGGCTGCAGGACAAAAACCTTCCCAGAAAGTCTTCTAATTTCTGGAAGCTGTCTGTAAAACAGCACAAGTTGTTCAAACCTCACTATCTGGCAAGAGAGTTTTGAGTTTACAGAAAGATCTACACCCAAAAAGTCACAGGAGGCAATGTCTGGCCACTCTGCAGAGGAAGCAGAGCTCAGGGTTAGGTATTTTAGTCATGAAGACATGGTGGAAATGGTGTCTGACTGCCTTCTGGCACTTTGCTCTGTGCTGGACCTGTGACCGAGGAACACCAGGGCAGAGCCAGGTATGTGACTAACACTCACAGGGTCTGTAAATAAAGTCAGGAGCAAACCAACCCATTGCCTATGGACCATGCTCATACTTAGAAAGGGAACAGTTCCCTGAGTGCTCTTGGAGACATTTTGGATACCTGAAGGAATGGATTACTGCTCCAAGTTCTCATCAAGAGCCATATGATTCACTAAGAAAACCCTGGACAGGCCAGCAAAAGGAAAATCAAAACCTGTACATGGAATGGCAGTTTCCATATGGAATTTCTTCACTAACTTGGTCAAGTCCAACAGATTCCAGAAGTAACAGCTAAAGTGCAGTAGAAAAATACACTTTCCTTTCAAGAGAAAGCAATGTGGTGTGAAACCCAAACCGGCATCAGCTCACATTAGAACCGCACAAACTCATCCTGTACCAAACACAATGAGTTCTGAACACTGGCACATGTGAGAACACACAGCTGTCACAGCAGCTGCGATCTGGCTCAAACAGCCCACCACATCCTCAGTAGTATCACACATCAGGGACTGAATACTTCCTCTGCTCACAGAAGCTCTCTGGAGCACAGGCGCAAAGCCTTAAGGAGACAGAAAAGACAAAGAGAAGGAGCAACAGTTTCAGTTTCATTCTTGTTGTAACTGTAGCTCTCCATAAGTAAGGGTCAAGTTTTCAAATCTTGGAAGCTTAAATTTTTGTTGTAAGTGGTATTCAGAGCAAAGAAGGTAGCTGTGCAATTCTTGTCTAACCCTTCCCTCAGGAAGATACAACTTCTGGATATGAAGGGATACAAGCATAAAGAAAGATTCTGCCTAGCAGAAAGTTAAAGATCCATGAGGTGCATTGTGGAGAAAAAGTTCTTACAGAAACTGACTTGAAGTCAGAAACTTAATTGAAAAGGAAACAGAATGATCACAAGCATATTGTTGAATATTTAGACTGAATACATAAAAGAGCTTATGCTATTCTTCCATACAGCTTTCAGTCTTCCAAGTCAGGTTTCAAACTAATGTCTGCCATGCTCTGGAAAGAAAGTCACCTGCTGATATTAAAAGGGCGAAGAATTCAGAAGCTGTCTGAGAGAGGCACGTAGTTATGGTAATATGTGATCAGATATTTAACAAAGTAATTTGTATAGTGAGCATATTATTAAAGTAATTGGTAAAGTTTGTTTGAGGAAGGAATTATCTCAATAGGGCATGAGGATAATCTTGAGCACTCTATCATCTTCCCATGGACATACAAGTAGATACCACTCTGGCCTGCTTCCTGCTACTAACACAGGTGTTACTGAAGCAATACTGGTAACTCCCACTTCTCTACCAAGAAAAACTCCAGTGGGAAGTATTTCAAGGATCTCTTCTGTGACAAACACACTCTGAAAATTACCAGGAACAGACACATCATAACCAAGAACTCTTCACAAAACTTATGAAAAATATTGGCCAAGTCCTAAACATACCAAGAGGCAAAAGGAGTGGGAAGTAATAATTTACAGCTCAGTACTTGCTTCCAAAAGGCTAACAGAAGATCCAATTTGCTAATCTAGTGCAAAATCTACCACAAATCAAAGACAGGCACAGCTAGCTAGCATAAGAAAAGAGAGGTTGAAAAGAATTCAAATGCAAAAGCCACTTCAAAAGCTAAATAAAGTCAAAATGTATCTCTCTGAAAACATCTACAAGCTTTACCTAATTTTTTCATGATCTGCACAAATGGCTCTGCTCTTCCTTAAAAATTGCTGGAAAATCTGCTCGCTATTAGGGTCCAAAATATGCCAACTCCCTTACAAATTTTTCAAGCAACAGAGGTTTTCAGCTGCCTCAGTGGCAGTGTTCAAGTGTCCATCTGTTCTCATACAGTGTTTCTAACTAATCCATCCCTAATTCCTGTAACCCTGACCAGGGTAAAGCAAATGGTTGTAAATAATCTTTTCTAAGAGTCAGTTTTGAACACGTCCTGTTCTCTCTGCATCTCCCACCACTAGCATTACCACCCCACTGCAGAGCAAACATACATCACAGTTTTAAGATTTGGACACATGAGACCTGTAACCTTCATTTCACTATCCAAAATCCAGCTACTACCTCTGTCCAACCTTTAAGTAAGGAGACTGCAGCAATCATTTGCCTCTGAGAACAGGAGTGGCAATTTTATAACTGCATCTTAAGTCTGGAAGAATCAGTGCAAAGTTTAAATCCTAACAAACTGAATGGGAGCTTCTAAACCAAGATGAGTCCAAACACAGTCACAGCACAAAGTTCGCACACATACAACCCTGAGCCATCTATTTTCAGCCTAAATTGACTTCCGGCATAAAACGTAGCATCTGATGCTTAAACCTTCTTTATATAACCCTTGCTACAATTTCTATCTGCCTTTAATTACTTAGCTGACAACTCTTCTCAGCAAAAAAAAAATTACTCACATGTAAATATGAAATGACATAATTGCGAAAGCACCTTACTGCTTTTGCTGACTCAAAGTAACTGTTTACAGCCTCTTAAATAGATGAGGTTGTCCAGATGCTAAAATCCCCATAACACAGAACATACTAAAGAAATATATGAACAGGTGCCTCTACTCAGAAAATGAGGACATATTTCTGGTTGGAGCAATAGCCAAACTCTCCCTGTTAAAACACATAACTACGAGGTGTGTAACTTCTATTTCACCACTACCTAATTTTTATGAAGTGCATGACTTAAGGCTGTACCTGACTGCCAGCTACTACCTCTACCTGCTCCCTACCCACCCTCACAACAGGCATAGGGACATGGTGAACAGAGGCTCGCAAAACTATACAAAACATTTTGTAGTCAGGTTTATCCTTTCTCAGCCCTCACCTGACCAGGTCTCCATGAAGCTGCAAAAAGAGGTTTTTCCTCCCTTCTCTGTCACAGATCTCCGCGGCTTGGGTGTCCACTGTGCAGAGGACCAGGTGCAAGTCCGAAGGAGCCGCAGCTGCTGAGTCTCTCCCATAAACATACACGCAGCCTCGTCGAACATCCCCTTTCAGCCAGGTCCTCTCACGGGAACCAACCCGACTGCTGCTCTGGCAGCTCCTGCTCCCGGTGCGCTTGGCGTTCCTCTGCAAGGCAGCCCAGACCCGAGCGTCAGCAGCGCCTGCGGCCGCTCCGACCCGGCCCGCACCGGCCCGCTCCGCAACTCCGCACAAGCGGCAGCCACTGGCATGGGAAAGACCACGGTCGCAGCGGGCAAGTGTGCCCGACGTCCCGCAGCCGACTCCCACTCCCCCCACCGAGCCGCCCGGAGCGGGGGAGGCCTCGGTCTCCTCCTCACCTTCAGCACCCGGATGCCGCCGCGGGATCCGGCCCGGCACCCTCGTGTGGCGCCCGGCGCGGCCGCCTCGTCCTCCTCGGGCTCCTGCGCAGCCCTGGGCCCCAGCCCGGCACCCGGCCCGGCCTCCCCCATCACCGGCCAGGCCGGCACCCCGGGCCTCCGCGGCCCGCCCCGGAAGCGCGCGGCCCGTCCGGCGCAGGCCCCGCCCCGGCGGCACCGGCGGGGCAGCGAGCCCCGGGCCCGTGTCCGCGTCTTGCACCAGCGAGCGGTACGAGTGTGAGCCGCTCGCCAGCCGGGCGAGGAGAAGGCAAAGCTCACGCGAACGCTGCAAACGCACCTGTCGCCGCTCGCCCTCCGCACAGCTCCAGCGTGTGTCACCATCGGCACCCCGCAGCTGAGGTACGCTGCTCAGCAGCCGAACAGCACCGTGCTCCTGCTGCCCTGCAGGTCCATCTCCTAAGCTCTGCCAGTCTTAACTAGTGTCTGCTACTAATAATGTCATTAACTACTAGTGACGTCATCATCTACCAATGACATCATCATGACAGTTTGCAAGAATTTGAGCATGTTTTAGGGCAGCCACTGCTTCTCCCTCAAGGATCAAGAACATTAAAAAAAGCCTCCCACCTTCCCCGCAGTGAAATTACACGTTTGAAAAGACGTGAAAGGTCATCTAGTGAAATGTGACTGTGACTAAAACACAAAGCAGACACATGTGGTGAGAGAGATATGGTGACAATCCTTGTCCAAGAGTCACATGGAGTATGAAAGGGGTCTTTTAACAAGCTCCTAGAGCAGGCTCCAAACACATTACTTGTGTTCAGATCCCACCATGCCTTTCTAGCACCTGGACAAACATTGCTGCTTGTAACTAACATGCTCTCTCTCAGGATGGTATTCCACAGGAACTACTCAAGTGTTTTGCAACTGTCCACTCATCTTAGTCTCCAAAATTTCCTGTAAAGTTTTTTCAAAACATGGCCATGTTATTTTGCATCATCTCACATTGCCATGGCCAAACATTAAGAATCAAAACATTTTATCCCACTGTATTGGCAGAAAGCAACAAGGCGATTTTAAATCATTGAATATCGTCTCATTTTATTAGTCACTTCATAATTTGTTTCAACCAAAAGACAATACACACAGCAGAAGTCTAATGCATCCCATGTAAATGTTTACATTTGTTAAGCTCCTCACTCACCTGTGACTCAGCATTTAATTAAATTTTTCACATCTCAAAAATAGGTCTCCAGAATTTTGAGTGCCAACAGATGCCCTGCCTCAAATGGCATGTTTTTCACTTTAAATTTGGTGGCTTTGTTGGGGGTTTGTATTTTAGTAATTTTGTTTGCCTTTTTTTCTCTATACTGTCAAAGAGGCGGGATGGGGCTCTGTGTAAAATTTAAATTACAACATCACAAAATAAAAAGGAATATACAGGAGTAGAGTGAAAGTTAAAAGGGAAGAAGTCCAGCAGCTCCTTCCCTCACAGCCTCCAAGTAGAAAAGGAACACACAAAAGTGCACCAGTGTCACTGCTGCCGCGGCCCATAGCTAGTACCAGCCTTAGCCAAGGCACTGGTACCTTTCCCAGGTGCTTCAGTATCTTCTGAGTTATAGATCCCAGGTACTGTAAAGACAGTCCCCTCACTGCTATTGCTTCATTAAGTTGTTCAAGGCCATATTTTGTGCCATCAAGACCTGGACAAAGTTGACTTTAAGGACCTTTCCATGCTTCCTCCCCCTTCAGGCCCATTATGGCCACTATTGTTTCTGTCATTTTTTGACTCAAAATACATTCACTTGGAAAAACAGACATCCAGTGTTTCCCAGTTCCAAAGCCTCCCATGCAGATACTAGTAAGATTAGCCATGAGGTCCGTATCTTGCTGCCTTTATATTCCCCCTTACACTGAAGCAAGGAAAACGTTGACCAGACCTCTAAGAATAGTTGCATTCAACCAGCAGGAAGAGGACTCAGCATATGCTTGGAGTGCCTCAGAGGTGTGAGTACACTCCAGAGGAAAACCACAGCAGCACAGAGCTTGAAATGCACATGGGGGTTAAGGAGCAAGCAGTATTATCTGGTATTGCAGAGAGGGGAAGTGTGAAGTCTGGCCTTCCTTCTTGTGCAATGTCAGCATCCATCCCTTAGTGAGGAGGGGAGAGCTCCAAGGACAACAGGAATGTTTGGCTGCTACAAAGGAGAACTTCATAGCCAAGGGATGGCTTCATGCAAAACGTATTTTGGGTACACGCACGGCCTCCTCCAGCTTGACTCAAATACAGGACGAAATGCCCATTTCCCCACAGACATAGTGCAATGGTGGCTGAAGGAGCCAAGAACACAAAGAATTCACCTTGCAAGCTTACCAGAGACCGACAGCTGCTCTAGGGGACAGAAAACAAGCATGACAAGAGGTATAACATACACTGTTCCCAACTCTGCTGCAACAAACTGGCCAGGTGAGAGACCATTTTCTTCTTCCTTCCCATCTAATTTCCTGTACCAGTGCTCTTTCCCAGCAAAGCCAAAGGGAGAGCGAGGCATGCTGGCTTTCAGTACGAGTGATCATGTACAACTCTGTGAAGAGAATGGTAGAGCTTATGAGGAGTTCAGGAACCAAGGCAAAGACTTCCCATTAGCTTTTTACCTGGGACACTCTCAGAGCTCACTGGGGTATGGATTTAACATGCTCAGTCTTCAACATTGAATTTGAGCTACTGGGGCAATGAATAACCACAACTGCAGTGAAAACGATTAAGCTAAATGCTCAGCACCAGAAATGGACCCTGATTCAGCAATTTCCTGCAGAACTGCCTGCTTCATGATGCTTCCAACTAATAGCCAAGGCATGACCCTACCACAACCCAAAGTCAATTTTAAGGAAATTGTACATTGTTCTTCTAGATTTTATAACCCTACACTGATGCCAGTTTCAGGAGAAAAAAGCTCTTTGCTAATCCAAAGGCCCAAACCAGTTCAATCAGTAAGGTAGCAAAAATACCCTTCAACAGAAGATAAATTTACTCCACTACACATGGACCAGCACTTAAATTAGTGTCAGTCCTACATTATATTGCTTAAAGCAGTTAAGACCAGACAGGACTGAACAACCCTCAGTAGCCTCCTCCTCCCAATTCAAGGGCAGAATAGGTCTTCAGTTTTCCCTAAGTACACTGTGGATCACTCTTGCAATATTTTTGGCAAGTTCTAGAGCTCAGTGTTAGCTCTTCTGTGGATGCAAGAAGCTATGTCTAAGCTTGTGCTCAGAGCACTCAAGGACTTGGAAAGCCCTAGAACAGAACTGAAGCAGAAGTGCCCAACGTTCAGCTTACCAGCACACTCAAAAATGAAGACCTAAGATAAATGCTAAAGAGCACTGAACGTCTGAAGTTTGCCACACTGTGCTTTTGTCTGTCTTACACATCATCTGCTAGAGACTGCCCAGAACTGTACCATCTCCCAGGAGCTCCTGCAGGGACATCCTTGAACACAGCTTTCTGTGAGCTCAGAGGGGTACCAACCAGACCTTGCATCTTTGGATCCAAATACTCAAAACAACTGGCTTCCATTCGAAACACACTGAAGTTACTTTCAGTCTCAATGTGAACTGGCACATTAATTCTGAAAGGGGAGTAAGGATCAACTAAGTAAAAAAAAAAAGGGAAAAGGTCTCTTTAACTGCATGGTCTTTATTTCAGTGCCAATATTACAGATACAACACAAATATCCCAGTCAGAAGTAACTCAAATGGAACCCAGGGTGTCTACAACAGGCTCTGGAAATAAAATCGGGGAGAAGTTCTGGAATAACCAGGAAGAGCAACTTCGCAGCAGAGTCTCTGATAAGTCTCCCAGCAGGAGCAAAAGTCCTTGCCCAAAAACTGATCTACAAAATTGAATGTGTCTTTTCTACCTATAAACCACAATTAACAGGTTGAAAGACACTGAAACCGTATGTGGTAGAAAACCAGCTGCTCCTTTTATCTCTACATCTCTCACAACTCACTTCACTTTCTGGGGAAGCTACAGAAGACTCTGAATCTGCATGGCTGTGCCTACTGATGAAAGGAAAGAAAAATCAGATGTAAGGGCTTCATTTCCAAGTACAGCACCAAAGCAATTTTACCAACTCTTACCAGCACCTCTTCTCCTGCACTGTGTTCCAGGTTTGCAGATGAACTCCAAAGGCCTCACTTGCTCTTGGTATGCAGCACATAACTAAGAAGTGCGTGTATACAATAATGCACTGAGTAGGTCATAAGAAGCCTCCAGCCCCTTAAGACCTAGGGGATACAAGAAGAAAGAGGAAGGGCAGCCTGGCATTCCCCAAGACCCCATCTGAGTCCCAGATGAAAATGCCTAAAGGAATCCAGCTAGAAATTAATGACAACACACCTTACCCACCCCAGGGAAAAAAAGACAGCAGAAAGAAGGAGCAACTGCTCACTTGCTGCAGAGAGAAGAAAGTTTCCCTGCTAGAAATTCCAGACTTCTCTTCCAACCAGGCTGTGTTCCTTTTTGAGGGAGAAGGAGGGTAGGGAAAGGGAGAAGGGAATGTTGCTTCAGGCTGTGAATGCATGTGTGAGAGAGTGCACAGTAGCCTCCACAAGCCACCAGCCTCATCAGCAGAGGAGAGGAGATTAATCTTAACAGATATGCTTCAAAGTCAGCAATCACTTCAGGAAAATTCCTCCTCATCAGCAGGTCTCTTTTGTTCCCCTTGTGCATGGTGCAGTTTGGGGGATTGCCACGGATCACAACCTTCTTCCCAGAGTTCTTTTGATTGGGTGGGATGAGAATAAGAATGGTGCCAGAGCCTCATTGCCAAGACTGAGGGGGGAAGTTGTTGACTTCTGCTAGATCCTGCATTGCTGAGCCCTTGTGATTATATGTCAACTTGATCCGCATACGTAGTTGTTGCTACAAGAGAAAAGGGGGAAACAAACAAAACCAAAACAAATTCAGATCTTCATTAAAGGTTAGAGACTCCCACCTCATTCAGTTCCCCTCCCCCACCCGATAAATGCTCAACACAGACTTTTCCTGACCGAGAGAGTTTGCTGGGTGTATGGGCAGGGTGAGCTATGACACTGCAGATAAATGCTCCATCTGGTGGGACATTCAT